ATATTGCAGATTTCTATAGTTAATACATTAAATTTTAAAAAATCAAACAGACACATTTCTAAAAATTTCTTATTTTTGAAATACTTAACCGTTAAGTTGCGCATGAAACTATTGAAAACCTGTATTGAGCCCCATGTTAATTCATCAATCTTCAAAAGACCTCCTGAAGAACAGTTCTAGAGTAAAAAAGCCAATATTCCCAGTATGTTACAATTATATGATTATCTTCAAAATACAAAGGGTAAAATTTTTTTTTTCGCCTAGTTCAAAAGATATTGCCGTTTGAATTTTGGAAAATCCCCATTGGCTGCCATTATAAACCGCTATCTTTACTAAAGTGTCCTTTTCTCAAAAAGTCCACTATGGAATTGTCTAATATTGCAGATTTCTATAATTAATATATGTATGTATAAATATTTATTAACGTCTATAATTAATATATTGAATTAAAAAAAATCAAACAGACACAATTCTAAAAATTTCTTATTTTTGAAATGTTTAGCTGTTAAGTTACGCATAAAGCTTTACAAAACCTGTATTGAGCCCCATGTTAATTCACCAATCTTCAAAAGACCCCCTGCAGAACAGTTCTAGATTAATGAAGCCCATATTCTCAGTATGTTACAATTATATGATTATCTTCAAAATAAGAAGAGTTAAATTTTTTCTTCTGCCTCGTTCAAAAGATATTGCCGTTTGAATTTTAGAAAATCCCCATTGACTGCCAGTATAAACCGCTATCAATATGGCTTTACTAAAGTGTCCTTTTCTCAAAAAGTCAACTATGGAATTTTCTAATATTGCAGATTTCTATAGTAAATATATTGAATTAAGTGATAACTTACTGAAATACTGGCAAATGTTTTAGGCTTATGCCATTATAGCACTATAGCCGTAAGACCTCTGCTAGAGAGGGAATTTTCAATATGGCCGTTCAATTGAAAATGTCTGCTATTTTCTGCTATTTTGGATTATTTTTTTCTAATCCGACTTCACTTTATTTCGCCTATGGATTTCTTTGAAGGAGTTCATTCCATAAATGAATAAAATTATAAGATGCACGATTTTTGCTATTTGTAATGAAATAATCATTGTACATGTTGACAGGGATTCATTTTGTCTTTTGAAACAATTAAGTATGCATAAAACAACATTTAGTTTACAAACTTGAAAGACATCAATATATCTATTTTACTTGAAAGGGGATGCTGTGGGCGTAAGTTTCTGATATTAAGTCCTAAACATTGGGTCAAACATTGTACCGTATATTTATTTTCAAAATATGTGATTTAAATCATTTTCAGAGCATTTACGATGTGATGATAACATGGGTTTAGTTATCAGGGACTTATCAAGACTTATTATTACGTTTTACTAATTCATTGTATTAAAAATGTACGAGGGGTGATCAATAAGTAATGGACGCTTTTTTACACAGATGCTTTTTATAGACCAATCCCTTCGATTTTCTTACCAGTGATACATCATTCAATTATCTATCAACTCTGAAGATTTGAAAACAAAAAAAGTAATATATTTTGATATATCTTTATTTCCGTGAAGGATGTATAGGTACCCCGGGACCGACATTTACCTCAAACATTCTGAAGCTATTTTAGCTTGTTTAACATGTAATGCAGTTGAATGCAGGCTGAAAAAACAAAACATTATGGTCATGAATTACCAAAATTTGTTAGGCCATAGTTGATTTTGAATATCTTATCATCACTATGTGGTATAATGCCACATTCATTCCACAGGGCCCTCTGCATATGTTCCATCAAGCGCTACATGTACACAATTCCTCATCACCTTAACTCGATATTGTAAGACAAGTCTGAATCCATTTTCTGACATGGTACAAGATGCAGTTGCACGGGTTGTTTTATTTCATCAATGTCAATAAACCTGCGTCATTTCTCTATAGAAATAAGTAGTATAGAAATAAATAAGTCATATGTGAGCAGATCTGGACAATATGGTGCATTGGACATGGGCTCAATGTTGAGGTCGAGGGATATTGTTTTCTGAACATTTTGAGATCTTTGGGCAGGTGCATTGTCCATATGGAGTAGGGTGTTCCCTTCTCTCACCAATCCCTTCTTCCAAAATGCTTTCTCAAATTGACCTGCAAAACCCTTCCATACAACACTCTGACATCACAATACTTTCTGTTTATGTGTTACCAGTCAGCAAAATATTTCAAACAACACAACACTTTTTGCATATAAAAATTAAAAGTTCAAATCTAACTGAAATTTGCCAAACTGGCTGAAAACTGAATATGTGACGTAAATGTCGGTCCCGGGGTACCTGTACCTCCTTCACAGAAATAAGGATAGATCAACATGTATTATATAATTTGTCTTCAAATCTTCAGAATTGATAGATAATTAAATGATGCATCACTGGTATGAAGATCAAAGGGATTGGTCTATAAAAAGTATCTGTGTAAAAAAGCGTCCATTACTTATTGATCACCCCTCGTATGTAATCTTGAGGAACATGTAAAGCAAAGACCGTAAAAAGTTTAAAGAAATAGGATTTACACTTTAATCAAACGGAAGGCATATTTATAGCGGTGTATGATGACAGCCAATTGACATTTTTCAAAATTCAAACGCCAATATCTTTGGAACTAGGCAAGAAAAAATGTTTTGACCATTCTTATTTTTAAGATAATCATGCTATTGTAACACAATAGCAATATGGTATTATTACTCTAGAACTGTTCTGAAGGGGGTCTTTTGAAGATTGATTAAAATTAATATGGGGCATAGGTTTTTTATGGTTTTGTGTGCAACTTAACGGCTAAACATTTCCAAAGTAAGAATTTTTTAGAATTGTGTCTGTTTGATTTTTTTAAATTCAATATATTTAACAATAGAAATCTGCAATATTTGTCCGCCATTTTTAAGTCAATATATTAACTATAGAAATCTGCAATATTAGAAAATTCCATAGTGAATCTTTTGAGAAAATGACATTTTAGTAAAGCCATATTGATAACGGTTTATAATGGCAGTCAATAGGGATTTTCCAAAATTCAAAAGCCAATATCTTTGGAAACTAGGCAAAAGTAAAAAGTTAACCCTTCTTATTTTGGAAATAATCATGTTATTGTAATAAACCAGCAATATGTGCTTAATTACTCTAGAACTGCTCTGCAGCCGGTCTTTTGAAGATTGATAAATTAACATGGGGCTCAATATAGGTTTTCTATAGTTTCGTATGCAACTTAATGGCTAAATATTTCAAAAATAAGAAATTTTTAGAAATGTGTCTGTTTGATTTGTTTAAATTCAATATATTAACAATAGAAATCTGCAATATTAGAAAATTTCATAGTAAACTTTTTGAAAAAAGGACACTTTAGTAAAGCCATGTTGATAGTGGTTTATAATTGCAGCCAATGGAGATTTTCCAAAATTCAAACGTCGATATCTTTGGAACTAAGGAAAAGAAAAAATTTAACCCCTCTTGTTTTGAAGATAATCATGTTATTGTAACATACTAGGAATATGGGCTTTATTGCTCTAGAACTGTTCTGCAGGGGGTCCTTTGAAGATCGCTAAATTAACATTGGGCTCAATATAGTTTTTTATAGTTTCATATGCAACTTAACAGCTTAATATTTCAAAAATAAGAAATTTTTTGTGTCTGTTTGATTTTTTTAAGTCAATATATTACCTATAGAAATCTGCAATATCAGAAAATTCCATAGTAAACTTTTTGAGAAAAGGACATTTTATTAAAGCCAAATTGATAGCGGTTTATAATGGCAGTCAATGGGAATTTTCAAAAATCCATAGGCCAATATCTTTGGAACTAGGCAAAAGAAAAAAGTTAACCCCTCTTATTTTGAAGATATTTATATAATTGTAACATGCTGGGAATATGGGCTTTATTACCCTAGAACTGTTCTGCAGGGGGTCTTTAGAAGATTGATAAATTAACATGGGGCTCAATGTAAAAATACAAAATTTTCAAGGGCTGCTATTATTAAATAGGGGCACTTTTCGTTACCACTTCGTTAGATATCAAAACTACATGTATTAAGGATACCTCGGTCAAAAAATGGTGCTTTATATATAGCAAGTGCAATATTGAACAGCTAACTGGCCCCACTATACACGCATCCTTCAAGATCATCGTGCAGACGGGCAACACTGCTATACAGCAGCTATGGGATGAAGTGAAATACCCCTGGACCAAGGATGTATAGCCTTGCCCAAGTCGGTCTCTTTAACTATCTGATTTCTATTATGACTACGCGCTCGCTTCTTGCTACATTTGTTCTAGTATTGAATGTACAAAAAGAAGTTACACCTTTTTAGCTTTTAAGGGATTTATTAGAATTATTTCATTGCAGACAATGTAGCTGTGATATTGACAGGGTGTACAAATATACTAATACTTATACTATACTAATGTACTAGTTCAGTTATGGTGAAATGTTTGTGATAAATTCCTTTTATGTTACAGAAGGTGAGCCGTTACTCTTGGGACACCCTGTATTTAAGTTATTTAAATGGTCAGGTATTCATAGCCTAATTATCGATGACGTTTCTTTTTTCAATTTCTTGATATTAATTTGATGTGGTGAAATTTTAGGACAATTTTACATGGCTTCACTTCATCCGATTTTATAAAAGTTGGTGGAGTAAAGGTAGTAAAGTAAGTAAAGGTAGAGTCTAACTATTGACCGATTTAAGATTTATTGAAAACATAGAATGTTTACCTGGCACAAATCAACAGCAAAAGGCAGGAAGCTGTATATTTTCAGTTTTTAAAATGTATAGTTTTTTAACAACAAAAAATCAAGACTTTCTTTTACCCATTTATCCTTCTTCAAAAATTATGTAAACCAAAATGAATTAACGGGCAAACTTAATAATCAGTATCTTAATAGTTAGATCATTCAATCAATATGTTAAAAGCAAATTCAGCCGCAATGTTTCTGCATGAAAAAACGACAAAAGAGTAATCACGACTGGTACATAATGTACCAGTCACCCCTTCCAGGTGTTCTAGGATGTTTCTTTAGGGAAAGGGAAATTCTATTTGATTTTGAAATACTGCAGCAGTACCATTTGTGACAACCGCATCTGACTTTACCGTTGTCAGAGTGTTTCGGTGTGCATCAGTCATAATTTCATTATCGTCGTCTTTCAATGTAATGATTTGTCTTTTCTTGTAATTTTGATAGCTGTAGATGCAAGGCCTTCGAATGTGAAAAGCAGAACGTGCCTAGTGCCCAAGCAACTTGGGAATGACACCGTGTATTTCCAGCCTCCGCACCACCCGGACTTTCTCATTGTGATAGGCACTGACGGATCGTACACAATATGTATCAAGGTAAGCAAGGGGGTCGTCCATCCAATGAATCACAATATGGAACTCAGTGCCTGTCGTCATATCGATAATACCATAGGTTCTGGGCCGATATAAAGATGGCAGCACCAACAGAATCCAGTATTATCTTTTTCAAAGAGAATATTTATAAATAAACACAAATCGATTACCATGCCATCTTATTTCACTAGTAGACCTAACGTGTCATTTTACAAATTAACGTGCTGTTAAGAAATGTTAGGATCATATTCAGTATAAGATCACTCCTCTTAATCTGCATTTGGTTTGAGCCTTTTGGCTGCGTTTGTTGCTACTCCTCCACCTTTGCGATCTTCATCAAGAGCATCGGCGAGATGTCCATGCCCAGATTTTCGCAAGCCACTAATAAAAATCTGCAACGCATCATTTCCTCTTCTTGGAAGAATATCAACGAGTTTCCTTGCCATCTCTAGTTGAGTTGGTTTTGAGAAAATTTCGTCTTTTAGCTCCCGAGTCAGAACACTGTAATTAAATGTAAATCGTTGTAATGAAATTGTGGACTTACCTTGGTTGATAGACACATGGGTTATACATGTATTGCAATTAATGTATTGGACGATTAAAATCCTTTTCATTCCTTCTTCCTATGCATTATGTTTGTAGAGACCGCAAATCATAACTAAATAATCTTTAAAATTCACAATTTTAAAACTATTCTTATAGTGATGAGAAATACACAATTTTATCATTTTACCATAATCTAAGTTGAAATAACAAACCATGGGCCTTACCGTTCGCTAAATAGATAATCGATTAACGATGAAGACTTGATCTCTACATCATCTAAAATCTTGGCAGTGTGTCTTTGGAGGATTTCCTTATCTTCGGTGGACATCAGAGATTTCATGCTTGGATCGCTTTTGTACACTTCTTCTTTGATTATTTCCCTCAGTTTGGCTAAATTGTCATATGCCTCATCTTTTCTGGTAAACATGGCGTAACATTTTAAAAGTTGACTGATCTCTTCAAGATTAGTGATTGCCACAAACAAGCCACCATCGTTGCGTTCTTTTGCATCTTTCAGCATAAGGCCAATTTTATCTGCCTCGTCTCCTTCCAGTTTTATATCATTAACAGTCTGACCATATTTATTTTTGATGACTACGCTTGCACCTTCAGACAGGAGTAATTGAACAATATTTACAAGGGAGTTTTTTACAGCAATATGAAGCGGGGTGCTTTTGTGCTCACTTTCTTGACGGTTCACAAGAGCTTTAATTCTCTTGTCTTTTAGCAACGTTTCCGCTACGTTTGCCAAGATAAGTTGTTTTTCCTTACAATAGCCATAATGTTGAGCGTGTATAACACGTTGGTTTTCGCAAAGTATATGGAGAATTGTCTTTCCACTGTTATCAGTCAAACTCGGGTCACATCCAGCCGCCATAAGTATTTCTATTTTATTTTTTATATCATTGTCTATTGGATCTTCTTCCAGCACCATCATCAATCCAGTTCTACCATAAGAGTTCTTAGAATCTAGGTTGGCTCTTCCAGATTCAAGGATCAGCTTCATTTGCTCGGATGGAGATGTATGAGCGGCCGTATGAAGAACGTCATATTTAATTCCTTCATCTGGCCCGAATTGAGTTGTTTCATATACTTTAGGGTCTGCACCATAGTCCAACAAAAGTTTCATTAATGGGATGTTTTGGGTCTTTACTGCACGATGTAGGACCGTTGTCTGTTTAGACTTAGCATTTACATCGCACCCTGTATCTAGCATCATCTTGCAAATCTGTAAAATTAACATATTTCGATGTAGAGGAGATCGAGTGGTCAGTAACGAGAGACGAGAGAAATTCCCACGACAACTGTTGGATAAATAAGAATTTCAACGGAGAATCGTTAAAAATGTCATCTCGATCATTAATTTTATATATACTAAAGAAATTAATCTTATATATAAAGAAAGAAATCTTACCGTTAGCAACGCTTCCGTTTCCAGAGGATCATTTTTAACCCAGGGAAATTGTCCGTCCACCAGTCGATAAAGAGGGGTTACATTGTCATTGTCATGCTTGTTCAAATCACAGCCTGATTTAATAATCATCTCTACTAGCTCCATTTTATCAGGTTCATAAACTCGATGATATTCCGGATCCATGACAGCATTTATTGCATTTCTTCCGCTATTATTGGTTACATGAATGCCACCAGGGCATTCCTTTGTTTTATCTAAAACAATTTGAACGATGTCTATGTCGTCTCCCTGTTTTACAGCTTTCAAAAGGGCCGTGTCCCCGTCTGAATCTTTTTGGCACAGCAAATTATCAAGAGTACCATTGGCAACGTTCAAAAGTTCTTTGCATTTATTCAAATCACGATCACGGATAGCTTTAATCAGGGCATTAAACTTCATGTCCGCCATTTTTATTTCGGTTTGATTTTTTCTCGTGGTCTCAATCTCTTTTGGGGTCATAGTACAAGCCAACCGACTAAACACTAATGACACACACAATTTATGACTATACCTTAACTTTAACGACGAGTTTAAACATTAACAGAAGTTCTTAGAATTCAAAAGAGAACCCTTTAAAACTATTGAAACTTTAACAACTGTTTACACTTTTAATCTTTGTTTACCCTTTCACATGTTTAAACTATTATTTCATCAATTTACTTTTGGTTCAAAAGCAGAGAGAGAGAGAGAGATAAATGTATTGCATTAGCTTTTTCTTCTGAAAAACTTAACATCCCAGTTGCATCTGGTTCCAGGAAAAGAAGGTACGAATAGTATCAGAGTATGTAGTCTAATTTTGTTGAGAAACTTGGTGAAGAAACTCAGAAACTCTAAGATGAATGAGACTGTTTTAATGGATTTTGTTGTTTAATGACAGTGATTGGGGTGATACATCCACGTGTGTTTGAGTCAGAAATAAAATGACAAATCAGAATAGTGATTCTTATACACGTGACTATTAATATGTACCTTGATTGGGGATACGACGAGTGAGGTTTTTGCGATTACACATGCATGAATATCTCTCTCTCTCTCTATTTTTTTTATTTTTAGCAAGTGGCATGGCTGTACAATGCAAGTGCTTTCCTATATCGAGAGGGGAAGAAATACACAACGGCAGATGGGACGTTGAAGTTACTGGGATACTCTACAAACACAGGTTGTTTATCAGTCATATGGAATAATCATACGCCACCTCGAAAATAAGAGCGTAACACAAAATATTGCAAGAATGCAATTTTAAATGGATGCAATTTTAGAAATACCTGAAGTAAAACAATGAATTTTAAATATAAATGTATTAATTTGATCCGGTTTAATGTCATTATAGTTGTAGAGGATATCTTATGATTTTTGAGGGATACCATTTTTATCCATTAGTGGATATCGCCAATCATGGAGATATGCGATATCCAAGAGTGGATAAAAATGATAGCCCGAGAAAATCATAGGATATCATATTTATTCTATGGTCGCAATTTTTGAATGGACTTAATTTAACCTAAAAATTCTTTTCTAACTTTTTCATTTTATTTTCTGTAAACTTATTTTTACAAAATGATTGCATGAAAAACTCTAACTCATTTTTACTGAGCATATAAACTTGGAACTTTATTGTTGCGGATCAAACAGACAAGTGGTTATTTGGCGCCAAATTCAAAACTAATTCTAAAAAATCGTATCCGACGGATATTATTTTTAAGACGTCAAATGAGTCGGATGCGATTTTAGTGGCGGATACCAAAATTATCTTGTGTCGCTATCCCCACATATATAAGCTTATACATGTAGTATCCATTGGATAAATATTATTATACAAAAGGAAATTTAACGTACATGCTTTTTTACGTTTTTAAAGACGTATCAGTTTATAAACATGAATATTAGGGTAGCAATAATAGAACACTGACAAAGGTCCTATATAATTTTGCTAAAGTAATCAAACAATGTATTTATTGCACACTATGTTGAATTTAAATATAGGCCAAGATAAGATAGGCCATTGGGATGAGATGATATTTCATTATGCGCCCATGACGAATACACTTGACCAAAAGGAGGCCATGACAGCAAGCATCAGATCATATGGCAACCCACCTGCTGTAATGTTTAGCCAGGTACAAATTCGAAAATGTATTGTACTGCATTTCGCAAATTATCATTTTTCTATTTTCCGATTTTCCTGTTTCCGACCACACTCCAGGGTCCCATTGTCTGTATCACCATAGCAACCAGAACTCGACTATAATGTAACCGCATTGGCCCGAATTTAACATAAAAGTAAAACATTAAATTTTACCAACGACGTCTGTCTCCAAGAGACAGACGTCCATGATATAACATACCTGTATGAACTTTCAGGTAAATATATTGAAAAAGAAAGAATTTAGAGACATTTATGAGAAATTATGAACATCGTAAAGCCATTAATAATACGTTTACATACGTCACCCCCTGTGTACTTTTTAAAAGGAATAATGTCTTTAATTTGTGGATCTGGTGGATATGTAGTCTTTACAGAAACCTCGTGTATTTTTGCAGTTATTTTTGGAAAGGGTATCTGGTAGTAGTTCAGGAAATCATGACCAAGTTGTATCGAGCTTTCCAAACTTTAGAACTGATGTCGCCAAGGGAACTCTAGGATTCCTTTCAATGGGTGGCTCGATGACTGGAGATACACATAAACAGATGGGACTGTACGTATGGCATCTTTGAACCCATCCCTCTTTGACTTCTTAAATACCCAAAAGTGACACAAGATGTTTCATTTTCAGCTCATCACATTGCAATTTGCACATTGCATTCTAAATAAATGATTTGAATAACTTCAAAACATGGGAAAAAATTAAGATTACTGGTTTTGTTACCCTTTGGTTCTTTATTCTTGGAATCATCCAAAGGACAAAATCTCCTTAAAGTTCCGCATAAGCTTATTCGTTTACCAGTTTGATTTTCAATCACGAAAACTTCATACCTTGATTGGTAATCAAATATGTTAGTTCAGCGCTATTTCAAAATCTTTGCTATTTCTAATCAATCAAGTCACACTCTATTGTAAGAATACCATTTAAATTTTTTTTCAAGCAAACGATAATTATAATGTTGATAAATTGATACTTTATCATGTATAAATCAAATAAAACAAAAAGATTTCTTTGTAGTACTTCCTCGTATTATTTCAATAAAAAGTATATTGTTCAATATTGTTTCATAAAAACAACGAGGTTGCGTTTGATTCTCTATTATGAACAGCATATCCCAATAACCCTTTTGAATTATAGCTTCCACAATATGACGACCAATATCAATGGTGGTATCGGTGGAGGACCCCTTGTGCTATTTGACAAAAACGACCAAGTCCTCATTCAAGCTCCTTACAATCAATTCATGGCAGCCTCGCTTTGGGTTGAAAACAAGGGCACCAACAGTTTGAACTGGGGCATTATGGGACAGGTTGACGAAATCCCAGCGGGATTTTATTCATCGTTTATCCTCTATTATGGCAATAAAGGAATTAACCAAGTAAGACAATTATGTATAGCCCACAACACGGGGGTAAAGCAGACCCGATGATACAATGAGCTTGCCCGGCGGTATCATGACTGTGTAACGGGGCTTAATGTATAAGTGAGCTCGGCGGTAGGTTTCAAACAACGCGGATCCTCAAAGCATGTGCTCATGGTATCATCGTGGCTTAACACCCATGCACAAGCTATCTTTTTATACGGTTTTTATAAATGATTTTTAGTGACAAGTATTTCAAAACTAACAAAATTACCCAATCTCGTGAAATGATGCAAAAGTTCAGAACTCTCAGATTACAGAACCACGGCTCAGTCCCTCTCACTGACTTTTGCGGACTAAATACTCTTTATGGGCTATAATTACCATTCACATATATCTTTTTGCTCAAAGACAAATATGCAACCGTTTTATTAATACACAACCACGAAAGAATGTATGGAAGATCCAAAATGCCAATCCATTTGGCCCTCATTTTAGAAATTGGCCGCATTTCTTTCGAAATATGGCCTTTTGAGAAACGGGGCTCAATTGTTGAGAAATAGGCCCAAATTAAAAAAATGTCCAAGTTTCTGTCTATTTTTTCGAGGCCGTTGAGGACTGGGGTGGTCTAATGAGGAAGACCTACGACAAGACACTGAATTACATGAAGTCAGACCTCACCATCAACTACCTCGGCTACTGGACAGATAATGGTAAATTTCTTTGTATGTATTATGATCATTAAATGGCATTTGACAGTCACTGCACCAGATTACAAAGCCCACAAAATGGGGCAAAATTCTGCTTGCCAAATGCAGTCCCATCGAGATCCTACGAGGTCCCACTCAATATACGTCAATGGACAGGCCCGTAGCCAGGATTTGTCAAGGGATTTTAAAATTCTCATCCTCCTAAGCAGTGTCCAGAATCCGTATCTCCTTCTTTCCAAAAAAAGAAAAGAAGGTATCTGGATTGATTTTGGAGCCCTGCAAACGGAGGATGTAAAATTCTAGGTGTTCACTTTTGAGAAATTTGGCCTGTTGATGTATGTTGGGCTAATCTATTCCCGTGTGGTTTTGAATATTTTAGGAGCATTTTACTACTATCACACCGAGGACAACAAAAACTACCAGCAAACTCTCCTTGATGTCAAAGCTTATGCTGTCAACAAGAGCATACCATATAGGTAAGGTTTCAGCTTTTGATAACTTGGTATATATCCTTCATTTCATCGGTTAAGAACTCAAGTTGGTCGAATCTCAACAAGTCTATTCACGATGGATAGTATTTCTAGGATCCAACTTCAACAGTAAGAATTAGGATTGCTTTTTAGCACTTTGGCTCTAATTTGTGTTTTGCAAATCTTTTTCCCTCGTAATTTGTGTTTCCAGATACATCCAGTATGACTCATGGTGGTACCCTAAAGGCCCTGGAGGTGGCGTAGAGACTTGGGTAGCTATGGACTCTATATTTCCCGATGGTCTCCAGAAGTTTTATGATGCTACTGGTTGGCCCGTATCCGCACACAACAGATGGTGGTAGGTCTATAGCGTGTATGGTATTTTACATTCTTGGTATAAGATTTGAATAAACAAATATGTACTTACACATACGCCGACACATTCTATGTTTTAGGTCTCCCAAAACGACATACGCCAAACAAAATGGTGGTGATTTTAACTTCATTGTAGAAGCAAAGAAGGCAATTCCTGTAGATATGGTAAGAACATGTGAATACTAACATACTTAAAAAACAGTCATTTGTCAGAAAGAAGTAATCCAAAACAATTTGGAAACTACACGAGGTCACATTAAAATACCATTGTCGGATGGAGATTTCAGGTTGTGATTACACATTCTGAAAGTTAAGGGAAGGGGGAGGGTGCCTTAGACCATGGACTTTCAAGAGAAATTGTTTTGGGCCAATTGACCATAATTGGGGATTTGTATTCCTTGCTAATAGTTACACTCACATGTTTTCTACATTCTCTTTTTGTAATACTTTTTGGCCTTCCCTTTTTGGCTCTTGTCAAAATACTTCCTGGCAAATTGTTTGAAAGATTGATTTGAGAAATTCAGGTTTATATCTTGGTAAAAAATCCAGAATTGATGAGTTTTTGGGCATGATGGGTAAATTTTAAGGTGGCCATTTTGTAAATTGTTTTGTAGGGTTTCTGGGATTATCTGATGAGGGAATCCAAGAAATGGGGTTTAGTAAACTACGAGCAAGATTGGTTGGACGTGGAATTTGGCGGATTGAATGCTACGCTGACTGATATCAACCTTGGTCGCACATGGCTTCATCAAATGGGCAAAGCGGCCCAGGAAAATGGTCTTACTATTCAATACTGTATGTCGAATCCCAGACATATTCTTCAGAGTCTGGAGATTCCAGTTGTTACACAGGTTAGTGCTGTATGCGAATAAATGGAAAGATATTCCCGATCTTTTGTTTTTTTTAGGAAAACACTCTACATGTCTGGTATAAGGATCGTAGAGTCAGAAATTACCAATTCCGTCCCCATCTTTGAATCAACTCTCCCTGTAGACACGAATCTCCTTCAAAGAAAGGAGAGGAATCCCGGAGTTTTAGTCTTGCTTCAAGACCCTGAACCCCACTCGCTTATCTACTTCAACAACGTTTAACAACGGATTGGGGGTCTTGAAGCAAGATTATCGTTTTGTACCTCATTCAATTCTGCAGGCCCGAGTAAGTGATGATTACCATCCAGGAAATAGCCAATGGAAGATAGGGATATCCTCTATGTTTGCCAATGCTCTTGGTTACGCCCCCTTTAAAGACAACTTCTGGACGACAACCGTTCAGCCTGGCACATCCTATAGTAAGTCAATTAATTTGTTCATGTATATTCCAAACAAATACACAATATTTTCAAACACTTAACTCCGGGACTCCGAAGTAATTTCGAAATACGTATGCACGTCGTATTTGAAAGTTGATTCAAACCAGTGTTATTATTGTTGTATAATGGCGACGTCCCCATGATGTGAAATGTGAACATATCCTTCTGTACCGTTTACACTAGAGGGTATAGTAAACATTATTTGGAAATGCTATTGAAAAATAAGATGATTATCCCATCATTGTAGATCAGGGTGCAGCTACAGAGCCAAACGTTGAACTTCAAACAACTGTTGCAATTTTGAGTACTGGTCCAGTTGGTCCAAGTGACAAGAACAACTATACAGATATAGACCTTCTCATGCGGTGCTGTGCTAACGATGGACTTATACTAAAACCATCAAGACCAGCCATAGCGATCAATGACCAAATTCTAATGGTAATATGTCATGAGATGTAAACTATTCAAGTAACAGCATGCGCTATTTGTAAATGTTTGCTAAATGTGAAAAGAATATAAAGTAAAATATGTAATAAATGTGCGAAATGCTTCAACCGAACGTCGAACAAGTACTTTTCATTTTAACCATCAATAAAGGAAAATATTCAAAGAAAAACCTTAACAGTACACATACAAACTTCTTTTATCTTCCTCATTCATTTCCAGAATGCGTGGGGTAACCCTATTGGTGAAGTATGGTCCACGTATTCAGACATAGCTGGTTGGAGGTTTGGAATAATACTTGCTGCAGAGATGTTGCAGGACTACACCATTGGACCAATGGCTGCTGGATTTGGAGATGATGTAAGTGATCAATGTGCAATAGTTTGATTTTGCTTATATAAAAAGAGCTTATTCTGTATGTCATTAGACCCTGGCATTCAGGGTACTACTTTTTAGTTCCTCATTTTTGTGTCTCAATTTTCGAAGTAAGATTTTTTTAAGATCAAGTAAAAGTTTTTACACATTGAAAAAGTGATAGACACAAATGAGATAAAATTAGAATAACACTAATAGGCCATCGTTGGAATGACACAGGATAAAATAAATGATGAGTTATATCACCGTACCCACCGACCATACCCATCCTTCGTAATGGCACCATTCCAATAATCAGGCAAAAAATCCCCACACATGACGATTGTGATTGAAATCACATGTGCCAAAAGGGAAAAGACCAAAAGTTTTTGTTAGAAAAGTAAGATTAAAAAAGGAGAATTATTTTCCTTTGAGGAAAGCAACCCCAGCATCACAAAGTCATTTCTCATGGCTGTGTTTTCAGTTCCCCAAAAGTAAAATATTTGGCTCGACAAAAACGATGGAATTCTCTGAGACGAGCAAGCTATTGATACCCGCAAAACAGTGTACAACAAAGACTCCTTGTGTGTATTGGACAACACCTGTCTTTACCATAAAGTAAGTGTATATTTTCAGTCTCTCCTTTTTACAAGCTTTAGATGAAAAGAAACTGTGATAAATCAGAATGGGTAACGCTATTTTAGCTTTTTTTATAAAAATGTCTCATAAGCTAAGTCTAGCTAGGGGCTTTTTGGATAATTGTATAATAGTACTATGTAAAATATGCCTGTGACAAATAAATTTATAAAATATTAAAACCATACGTTCGATGATGTCCACACCAACTTTAAATTCAACACATTCATCACATCACCATCTTTAAATTCAACCTTGATTATTTAATTTCAGTGGCGATGAGATCCTTATCATCGGTGAGCTGGATAAAACAGTTCGAATGTCTCCTCAACGGGTCACCAACATCAATGTGACACCAAATGACATAGAAATACATATTAAGGGCAGCTACCAAGAGAGCGTTCGATTTGTGTATACCAGAAATGGCCATGCATTCGACATAACATGTGTTTTGCCTATGAGTGGAAAAACTGTGATAGATCCTATTTTGAACATGTGTATTAATGATTAGATCACTAATGCATCAGATTAGACAATATCGAAAATAGACCATGTTTACTACTTATGTTATGTTAACCCTCAACTACATGTAATATCAAAGATTAAAATAATTTTATACATTTGATTTATAGATGTCAGTTGTGCATTTGATTCACACAACCCCGGATATCAAGGAGGATTGGCTCCCAGAGTGCAACATCGATATTCTGTCCCATATATGGGCATGTTGTAAAACAAAATTCGAATTCAAACAGCCACCATTTTGTTCACTTTCAAAGCATTTGAATCGTGAATTTTGATCTTGTTTCCGAACGAAAAATTCCAAAACTCCGGAGAAATGATCGAGCTGTTACACCCTTGGTATACGCAGCTAACGAAAATTGACCGGTACGGGTCAAAAGCTGGCCATGGCATGGCATTTTTTATAAAATCAAACGCGCGTCATTGAAACTCACAAGATGTAAATAGCATGTCATTTACATCATACCTTGATGGGGAAAAATAGATCTTATATGTTAGAAGTACTAAATAAAAGTTATCGTGAAAATGAGACAGTCGTTCTCGAGAGAAAAGAGCATAAATGCGCATTTAGAGAGTTTTGGTCCGTTTAAAAATCTGTAAAAAATTGGGGTACTTAAAAGCATCGGGAGGCATCATATATTTCAAATTAGACACGAGGAAGTCAATATTGAGCAAGTTATGGCTGTTTTAAAGATTCTCGCAATCTTTATCCAATCAGCGTTTGCGATGTGTATCGGCTCACGTATAAAAGGCGAATCCAACTCAAATCCATGCAGGGGTGTATGAGGTACTCGAATAGGAAAGAGCTCGTGAAATCTGAATTTATATGCACATGGTCAATGTTTACACATGTTTGGAGTTATTGAAGAAAATGTGATATGGGTGTGGTTCCGGATTTGAAGTCATTGCTGGAAAATATGATTTTAATACGTGAAATTATATCTATAAATACAGCACTAAAAATAAAAGTACACGTGAAGTACATGTATGATTGTGTCCAGAAATGTTTGAAACCCTTACAGAAAATTCTGTCTGCATTTTGTCACCATTGCTCTTTCTTCCCGCATTCTAGTGCTGTTTGAATGAATATATTAATTAATGTATTTCTAACTATATAAAATATATCACATTTTTTTATAAACCACAAACATTTAGATCATAAAAAAAATTATTCAATACTTGAGTGAGCACGATATGCAAGGGTTACTAAGTTGACACAGTAAATGACCACTGATATTGTGTTACTCCATGCACACAGCGTATTCTGCTAATACACATTTCACGGTGTATAACCCAAACGCTCCTACATGCACGACGGAGCGTTTCATTACTGAAATTAAACAAAGAAACGCTCCGGAGTAGGAAAACTGACTGGCGGGAATGATGAGCCGTCTGACGATTTCCCCAATAATGGGAATAAGAGTTATGAGTTACATATTTCGAGTATACCATTCGATGGGTGTGATATTCATGTTGTACTTGGCTGGCTGTTGACGTTTGAAGCAATTAGGAAGAGCTGTACGAAGCAGTATATTTATCAAAATTCAAAAACGTATTTGTCATTCTACCGGTCAAAACCCCTTTTGTCGATACATGTGATTAGTTGAGCTAAGATTAGAGCACCAACGTATATTTTAGTCAAATTCCAATGCTTCAACGCACCATACATTATCGTAATAGTGATTTGATGACCGAAAATCCAGTCTTAAAAATGATGACATTCTCGTATTCAAGAAACGCTCCGATCTGGTTAACACAGTGAACTGGAAACGCTCCGGTAGTCTAGATCAGTTTAGGAAATATATAGCTTGCCTTTTCTTTTCAGGAAGAGAAAGAAAAGATCTATTATACCCCTTGGCATCAATAGAAGAAAGATTAATTCACATTTTTCTATAGTTTTATGATTTAGCACATATGTAGCCATGCCATCATCTAATGTAGGCTTAAATCAGCTAGTTGCACGTTTAGCACCACCAGGTTCAGATGTTTCAATTTGCCTAACAAGTACAACACGTTTTTGAGAGATAGATTCGATTCGAAACTCTTCTCTAATAATCTGAAAATTATATCAAAACAAAATGGTAAGAGCGTTTCTAAAATTGTTTTCTAAATCGACGGAGCGTTTCGAGGAAAACAAGCGATTTCTCGAGAACAAGTAATGGATTTGGACTGGGATTTTAGGAAATGAGAATATACGAGTTTGTGATCTACTACTTTAACAAAAAGATTGACGTTTTCATAGAAATACTAGTTTAATTCGTAATTTGTGGTCAAATCGTCATCTTCAGATTCGTTCGATCTACACTACGGAGCTTTGATCAAGCAAATAACAGTTTACCACCAGAAGTTGAATAAATCAGATCTTTGCTCACGGTATTGTTCATCGAATGGTACATAATATTAACGAGAGGAACAATACCTACGGTCATAGTGGAATCTTCATTAGCCGCCATTTTATTTCGCTCCGGAGCGTTTCCGCGTAAATGAAACGCTCCGTCGTGCATGTAGGAGCGTTTGGGTTATACACCGTGCATTTGCTAACACCCCCCACTTTCATAGTGAAGTGACTAATTGGTTTATGTTTACGTTTTAATGTGTTTTGGGTTCTTTGTTACAGCAAGGGGGGCCAGGAAAGTAGACTAACATGTTTGCATGGCAAATTTTGATCGAATATGTGAGACACTTTAAATTCAAATAAAACCGTTAACCCGTACCGGTCCAGCTTTTGACCCGTACCGGTCAATTTTCGTTAGCTGCGTATACCAAGGGTGTGTTAGTTCGAATCTTTTGGACTGTTTATTTTGAATTTATAGTTGGTTAATATTTCAGAAAAAACGAAATTTCGACGATTTCATTGTTGGAAAATATCGAGTTTCGATCTTGGGAGCCAATCCTCCTTGCCCGGATATGTTGTATTTGTAACAATGTTGCTCTTCACAATTTTATATCTTTGTTATTTTCATTTATCGCAAAAATTGAACGATTTAATATAATTTATGTGGATTTATCATCGTACAATCCCCGATATAGTTTGCATTCAAATGGATGGAACTCTTGTTGCAAAAGATTATAAATCCATAAGAAATGAAATTCAAGGACAAGGAATTGTCGGAGTTGGTGCCACAACGAAGTTCTTCCTTTTTTTGTCGCCCGCTTCCCCGGTTTGGCAGTCGGGCCTTTATGAAAAACCAAACCAATGCATGGATAATTACGCAGGCTGTCCGGAACCTAATGGTATGGCATTACAAAAATGTGCTGGCCTGGCACACCGGTGAACAATTTAAACTGCATTACGTCTTTAACTCCTTCAACTCTGAAACATATAGCTCTGAATACGAACTCTAAATGGATAAATGAAATAAATAACTTTTCAAGGAATTGTTTAACATGCACAATGCGTATTTAATTATAAGTGCATTAAGAATAGAAATTATGACATAACTATTTATACTATTAATGACAACCTTATTTGCAAGTATTATGGAATTGCAAAACAGACAGGACAGGTTCAAATCAAACAAATTTGAAATCATAAATATTGACATGAATTTTCTGTTTATTCTAAGTAAGCACTGGAAATTTATTTATTGAATATTCTTGCTAATTTTCTTCATTATCATCTATGAATGATCCGAAAAAGATTTAAGTATGGCCATAAAATATACCTGTAAAATAAAGATTATCTAATTAATGAATGTAGAGCTATTCCAGGCCTGTTATTAAGATCAAGCCCTACGTCGATAAGTTCATACTGATATTTGATCTGAAGTGGAATAGAAAAACATAACTGCATATTCATAGTAAAAAGAGGTAAGTACATGAAGAGGTCTCATTCTTATTGTGTTTAAAGGCAAGGGAACATGGGGCAAAACTGCCCTTAGGGGCAAAATGGCCCATCGAAACATCTTTTGAATTATAAAAAGATGGTTCTTCAAAAGTCACATAATCGAATTTTGAAATTTCCGCCACCTTCTCGACCGCCCATTTTTAACCTAGCAGCGTCTCGCTTTACGTAAGAGACAATTGTATACTTTTCACTCTCTTTTTTTGCAAATTAGCCCTCCCATGAGAATCTCTAAAAATCCGGCAACAATAGACTATCATTTTGATTTAACATTTTACATAGAGTATGCATATTTATTCTTTATTTGTAAAAATTACGAGCTACAAATATCAGGCAAATTAAAATAACGTCTATTTGAAAATTCACATGTCTTTGGGGCAAAACGGCCCACAAAGGTTATACAAAAATCTTATTGTCAATTGATCAATTGATTTTCAAATATTTTAAAAGATTTTAACATTTGGCCGTTTTTCCCCACCCATGGGCCGTTTTGCCCCTCTCTCGACATTATTTTTGACCATTGAAAAATCACAGAAGATAGTCCTAGGCAAGTATAAAACACTCGAAAAATGTAAACCACAACCCATTAATAAAGGGGAACATCACAGTGCGTGATGATTGACAGATAAGAAAAAAAACCCGTGCGGAACAAGTCAAAATTAATTTTTTAGGGCTGTTTTGCCCCAGGTTCCCTTATGTCATCATTTATTGACATACCCAGACAAAATATAGTATAGACTTGCTTTTTATTGTATTTAAGCTGTGAAAACGCAACTTCAAATTTTTCTTTTATTTAGAACAATGTTTTCTACATCAATCATACTGAAGTAAAGAGAATGAGCGGAGAAATAGTTCTATTCCACTGGTCCTCAAGTAGTTGCAAGAATACGGTTCCTGTAACAGCATGGCGGAGTTTCCGCTAGGGTAAAATTTAATTTCTCCTCGTGTACATGAGTTGCAATTTAATACTTACCCCAAAGGTACATTGCATAACTGGAAAAATTGAACACATAACATAAAGTATTCCATAAGTTGACTTTATTTTATTTTTTAATTTGAATGTTTTAGTTAAGGATTTAAGCCCTTCCCGAGTGCATAGTGGATCGATTATCATTCCTCAAAGTTTAGGAAACAACGCGCAATGGCTTCAGTGGAATGAATCAGCCACAATGCATTGAGTCTTGGGCTTAAATTCGTTTCATACATTGCAAAATATTTTATACAATATCACAAGTTGTCACTTTGGCAACCAATCAACGTATCGGTTTCATTAGTTTCCCCAGAATCTAAAAATGACCTTGGGTACATTAGAGGAGTATATTGCAACTCAGTTATATTAAATAGCGTGTTCTGATTGGCTGAAATTGGAAAAATTATTCACACATAGCTAGGCAAGATTCAAGCCACTCCGAACACAGTATTTCAAATGACTGCACTGCATTATATAACCAATTAACCACCAAAGGTCACTTTTTCAATGGTTGTCAAGGTTGACAACTGGACTCAACAGATTGAAATTGATACTTTGCCGAGTTTCTAAGAAAATATTTTGCAAGGTATGTAGGGAATTTAATCCAAAGAATCAATGCATTGTGACTGATTCATTCCACTCAGGCGTTGTTTCTTAAACTTAGCACTCGATTCTGCGAATATCGTGCAAAGGAAATAAGATACACTCTAATGCATTTTAAACTCCGCCATGCTGTTACACGAATGCCATCGTGGTAAGCCACGCCCTCTCCATCTCTATCCTTCTGGAGATCTGCGATGCAACAGAGAGAGATGCTATGATGCATCAGTATGCATGAATGCCACGTTCTTACAATTGTTCTACTCAACTATACTAAGGGACTATTGACAATGATATGATTGAATGATCTAAATGATTTGTTTCTCTTAATTCTGCAACTAGATCATTGACATGATGAGAGCCATACTACATGTAGCTGCTTGGATGATATTTGCAATCGTCCTCCTTGACATTGCAACTACGACAACATTGGCACACTGCGATTACACCCATGGGTCTGTGTGCCCAATGGGATTCACCTTCAATGAAAACCTGGAGTCCTGTTACAACTTTGTCATATCAGAGAAAACCACGTGGTACAATGCTCTCACATTTTGCAACTCAATGGACGCAAATCTTGTCGCTATAGAGACGGCAGAAGAATATAATTTCCTAAGAAATGAGATAAAAGGACGGGGAATTATTGGGGACGGTGGTCGAACAGGAAATTCTTTCTTTACTGGCGGCAACTTTCTAAATGGAGATTGGCAGTGGGCTGGTGGACCATTATGGAAGACAAAATCGATGTTATATGCACCATGGAGTACTACCAGAGTGAATGGTGATCCAGAACCTGACAATTTAGCTGTGGAAAAATGTGCAATCCTTTATAGTGGTGATCAATTTAGACTACATAACTGGATTTGTGACCTCCTGTTCCACTACATATGCGAAATCAAACTGAAATAAACCAACTGATGTAGTGCAGCTTCAATAGAACAGAAACAATTATGTCTAGAAACTATGTCATGATGGATAGTGTACACAATTACATCATTGTTCGCTTCATAAAAATACTATAATGTACCACATTGTTCATCTCACCTATTTAAATCGAATACTGCTTTTCTACCTATTTACTAATCCTTTGTCTGGAACACTTTCACTGGTGATCCGCTCGATTACGCTGGTTACCGAAACGGTTCGTTTTGGTAACAAAATGTCGGAACGTCGAAGGTACGATTTTTCTTTTTTCTTATTTCAAGCGTTAGTAAGCAGAATCCCCACGACATTTTTTCTCACAAACGTATGTCTGTATCATATGTTTAAGAAAACGTATATGTTTGCGAAAAATAGCTCAGAAGACAACAGAATCGTCGATTTAGTTCCTCATTTAAGTTACATAAACGGTAGGGGTTAAAAGTGCAGATCTTAACTGTTTTTCGAAATACCGTTTATGTAACTTAAGTGAGGAATTAAATCTACGATTCCATTGTCAACAGAACTATTTGTCGCAAATGTGTACATTTTCTTAAACATATGATAGGCCTACTGATACACGTTTGTGTTAAAAAATGTCGTGGGAATTCTGCCTACGTGGTGTACAGTAAGGAAAAAAGAAAAATCGTACCTTCGACATTCCGACATTTTGTTACCGAAACGGTTCCAGCGTAATCGAGTGGATCACCAGTGACTTTGAGTTACGTTAACTTTTAAATTGTAACAGTAACTTTAGAATATACACTCCCCTCCATAAGTTTGGCAACCTTTGTATACATGTAAATTCATCAAATAATTTCCGCATGGTAGAAGAGTCAAAACAGTATTTTTCCAAAAATAAATGTTTCATGATATTTTCGAAAAGATGGATGTGTGATAGTGATATAGTGATCTTTATAATCTACAATTATTGAATGCATTAGTGCATTTTGTATGGTTCATTTCGTTCGCTATGACGAGGGTACATGATTTGGTCACATATTGGGAGTGCCCTTTTTTAAAATAGAATACCGGTTTGGTGAGATATATTATTTTGATCTTTATTGGTCAAATGAGTTCTGAACAATTGATTCAATCATTCATGACAGTAAATGAGTGATTTGATCACTGTCTTGATACACCTATGGTACATGAAACATGCGTTGCCATTTCGCTCATTTCTCATGGGATCTACACGTCAGCTTACTCGTGATGAACGGGCAACCGTTATTGCCCTCCGCAATGAGGGTCGGACGTTGCGATATATTGGTCTAACACTGAATCGCTGCAAGGGCACAATATAAAAAACCATCAAACGATTTCGAAATTCAGGGTCAAACAGGGACCGACCCCGCTCTGGAAGGCCTTACATTTCTACATTGAGAGGGGACCGCGCCCTTGTCCACCATACCCGGCTAGAACGTAAGACAACAGTCCCAAGACTGAAAACCTTCTGGCAGATGAACTTTAACATACGTGCAAGCTACTCTACTATCAGGAGAAGGTGCGGCATTGTCACTTTTTATTTTTCATACTTTAAATTTGACGAACTTCTCGAAAAATATTCATCAACTTTACGCAATTATTGCTAACTATTGCCGACAATGCTGGTTTTGTTTTAAAGTTTTATATGTTCTATTAAATGTCTTTATTCTTTCAGGTTACATAACAGAGGTCTGTACGGTCGAATAGCCAAGAAAAAGCCTATTACTTCCCCCATCATACGACAACGACGATTGGAATGGGCAAATGTTGTCCGGCTTTGGAATATCAATACTCATTGGTCTAAAGTAGTTTTTTCGGATGAAACGAGATACAATATTGGAGAAAATGATGGCAGGACGATTGTGTGGCGCACAAATGCTGAGAAATTCAACCCAGAGTGCCTCGACATGGGACGAACTGTAAGACGTGGTGGTCTCATATTTTGGGGGTGCGTCGGGTATCATGGTGTTGGGGAGCTAGTCACGGTCCCTGGAGTCATCACGGGAGGGGTATATAGAGATATTTTGCAGGAGAACCTTTTACCATCCATTGAACAGATATTCGGTGAAAGAGAGCAGCGCTACGTCTTTCAACAGGACAACGCTCCCATTCATACTGCGAATCAAGGTTCTTTCAAAGCGGCGTTAACAAAATGAGATGGTCTGCATATTCCCCAGACCAACCACTTATTGAAAATATGTGGCATTATATTGATCGCCAGATACAGAATCTCCCAATTAACAACCTCCGCGAGCTGGAAATCGCCGTTCGTAGAGCATGGGTTCAAATCCCTGACCAGTACATCAGGAGACTATTTGAAAGGCTTCCTAGTCAACTCGTACCCAAGACAACTCGTACCCAAGACAACTTGTACCCAAGACAACTCGTACCCAAGTCAACTGGTACCCAAGACAACTCGTACCCACGTTTATTTTCTGTATTATGAGTGCATATAAGAAAACAAATTGAGTCTGTGTCAAAATGTTTAATGTTATAATGTGCCTCAATATTTTTTCTGAATTTAGAAGACATTTTTTCTCAATGGATTAAGCGAAGCATTTTTTTTAATTTGGATTACCTTTGAAGTGCTTTGAAGGGCTTGTTCTCAACTTTTTTTGTAATACATATATATAAATGAATATAATTACAACAGTAACTTTTCAACAAATGAATCAAACAATTAAAATAATTAAGCTTAGTGCATTCAGAGAAAATTAATAAGGGAACTTTAATCTGTTAATTTCTTTTCCATTTTGAACTTAATTGGATTATATTTGAACACATGCATGCAAAGTGTATTATATCATGTATGAATAAGTGTCAAAATAATATTTGATATTCATATTATTTAGAATATTTTTTATTGCTTAATTTTATGAAGGTGACTTCTTAGAATTATCATTCTTTAATCTGATAATATGAAATCCTAAATAGATTATCTGTTTAATAAGAAATAGGCGCAAGTTTTGAAAATCTTTATATTTTTGATAATACCATATTTCAAGATGAATTAGATCTGATACTTGTTCCAAACACTCATTAACATACAAAAATACCACTAATATTGTGAACAATGATTATGAATATGTGGAATAAACATAAATCTCTTCCCTCAAACATCTGAATCTGTGACCAATATATTTGGTCACAAATTTCAATCGATTTCTTCCAAAAACTCTTCTACATACTTCAAACTATTCTGAACTGTATGTAACCATTATAATATGTATATCTATACCCATTCCCAGCCCAACACTTGATTCAAAACAAAACATATACTTGGGTACAAATTGTCTTGGGTACGAGTTGTCTTGGGTACGAGTTGTCTTGGGTACGACTTGACTTGGGTACGAGTTGTCTTGGGTACGAGTTGACCAGTTACCTTTGAAAGCATGCCCAGAAGAGTTCGTGCCCTTATCCTTAGTCGTGGTTATCCCACTAGATATTGATTATCAACTTGTTGACTTTATATTAGAATCACTTTTATAACATTTCTGCTTATTTAAAATATGTTTACACCACGAGCGCAATTTCATGTTAAATAATGACAGATTTTCATATTTTGCCTGTTTACGCCACATGATAATGGACAATAAAACAAAGCGACATGGCAATCATAAATTTAATATGTTATTTTTTATGTTTGCAAAACTCGCAAAGCTATGATGGTGCACTTTCAGCACAAAAAGCAACAAAAACTAACAAAAATGAACCTCTCAAAGATTAAGCCTTAACAACATCGATTCTACATTTTAATTACAATTCCAACGCTACGTAAAGATTGTTGAACATCAGACAAACGTAATGCCAAGATTTCATGACTTTTCATAATATATTAGTGAAACTATATGGCAAAACGTTCTCTCAAAATTTCCAATTTGAAATGTTGTTCACACAAAAATCTAAAAAGGTTGCCAAACTTATGGAGGGGAGTGTAAATGGAGTTCTGATGAAAATGCTTTTTAACTGGTCTTTAAAATGTAATCTTTAATGCAGACGTATATAAACATAGTCTCTAATCATCAGTTAAAGATGATGACATTCGAAATATCAAGGGGAATAAACATTTTGTTTTGTGAATCGTTGTAACAATTACATTGTACGTGCACTAAATCTCGTAACCGACGATTACTTTTGCTATTCTACTGTGTTTCAAATTAAAGAACAATGAAAACCTGTTAGCCCCATCAGAAAACATAAACATCCGCAACAGACGCATAGATGTAAATATTTATGAGGTATAGTAAGTTATAAAATTACAAATATTTAAGATTTGAAACTAGTATACTGGTTTCATTTTGTCTGTTGAGGATCCGAGGCACACATTGTTTATATCAGAAAGACAGTTAGCGGTAAGTAGACTTACATAGACTACTTGAATTAATTTGGATAATAGTCTTGCGTGAAGTCCCTTTCCCCCGGTACCCTCGTATTCCGTCTGTTACATTGGATTTGGGAAATTACCAGTGACTTGACGCAAGTTTAGATGATTTTAGACCCAGTGAAAGTTGTTACGTGTTCTGTGTTTGCAGAGTTGAATACTGTATACGACATGAAGTATTTCAAAAGTTTACCTTATTCATTTTTTATTTTGCACTACACGTAGAGTAAATTAATTCCCGGGCATTTTGTGATATTTATTGTATTATATTTGAAAAAAATAGTTTAAATATAACACTAAGTTAAAGGTCAATGGACAGATCTAAGAGAAGAGATAAATCATTTCGAAAATATTTTGTTTTTAATGTTTCGCATTTCATGATTTGATCTTATCTGGCCGACCATGACCTCCTATATCCCAAAAAGACCATGAATATTTGTGTCAAAAAAAGAATTCCATAAATACAATAAACTTGTGTGTCAAAAAGATAAAAAAGAACTTACCCTAACCCTAACCCGCAGATACAACAAGTAGAGATAACAAATAGACATCATTTTTTGATTTTTTATCAATGATTTGACAGTTTTGATATTTTTGATTTTTTGATATTTTTTACTTTACCCAAACTCTGGATATACATGGTATCTCAAACTGAATTTGAAAAGTTTTGTTGAACAGTTTAGTTTAGATGAAGTCAAAAACGATTCTAAAAAGAATCTGAGTTCCATATACAACGTATATATTTTATTTCTTCATCTATAGATAGCGCACTGGCAAGATGAAGACTTTACTCGGTACTGGGATGATATTCGCAATCGTCTTCCTCGACATTGCAACTACGAGAACAATTGCACACTGCGATTACACCCATGGGTCTGTGTGCCCAATGGGATTCACCTTCAATGAAAACCTGGAGTCCTGTTACAACTTTGTCATATCTGAGAAAACCACTTGGTACAATGCTCTCACATTTTGCAACTCAATGGACGCAAATCTTGTTGCTATAGACTCGGAAGAAGAATACAATTTCCTACGAAGTGAGATTCAGGGACGGGGGATTATTGGAGACGGTGCTACAACAGGAAATTCGTTCTTCATTGGTGGCAACTTTTTAAATGGAGGTTGGCAATGGGCGGGTGGACCTTCATGGAAGACAAAACCGATATTATATGCCCCTTGGAGTACTACGTGGAGCAGTCCAGAACCTAACGACGTGAATGCAGAGAGATGTACAGTTCTTTATGGTGGTGAACAATTTAAACTACATAACTGGAATTGTGGCTTTGAGTTCCATTACATATGTGAAATCAAATTAAGATGAATAACTGTAACTCTTCGCTGATTATGAGGTACTGTTGTGTACAGGTTGGCTCTTAAGAGATAAATACATTATAGATATATCCAAGAGAATGGGAAATATATAGCACCCACAGGCCCGTCAGACACTTTTCTTCAAGGGGGGGGGGGTCAATTTTGCCACGTAAATCAGGTTGGTCAGGTTGGGGGGGGGGGGGGTCGGTTTGTACGAGCTGATAGGCCAAGGGAAACTCACTTCTATATTGAGCTCACTAGAACTTTCTTTTTGAGCAATTTGGAGAAACGTTAGAAAAGGGAGATGTTGTGCTACAAGGGCCCCCAGCATAACGAGGAAATTTAACCATGTTCAAGATATCATTCAGTGATGTATAGACCCTTTCAAGTAAGAGGGCATCAAGTAGTTTCAAACCATAATTTGGAAGGAGGGGCAATCGCACATTATCAAGCAGTTACAAGGAACATTCTTCAAGAATATATAAAATAAAATTGGGACCCAGACACTCGTTTTTAGCCATCACAAACACAAAATGCGATATTTTAATGAAGAATCATTAAAATATACAAAGTGACCCAAAATACAATGTGATGTGATAATGTGTTTATTTGAAACCTATTATTACAACATTTCCTATATAGAGACTATACAAAATATAAATTCTGTAACATCTGAATATCTTTACATAGCGTTTGAAATAGTTTACTTATCATGTTGAATCATATTTACATATTCTTTTATTAACTTTGTCAATAATAATAATGAACTGACCGTCTGACTTGCTTATTATTTTTGTAAATTATGTCAAAGACGGATATCTGAAGGAACAGTTTTAAACGATTTCAAGAGTAACAAATGGCAACATTGATACGGGAGTTGAGGAATTCTATTCCAAAATTGGTATTGCATCTACATGTACATAAACTGGTATGTTCTGAGATTATATTGAAAATGTGATATAATGAATAGAATAATAAAAATATCAATAGATAATAGCAGTTCCGTTTGATTTAGCCTCATCTGAAAACACTTTACCATCTTGCATTTGATTATCTATCTCAATGTTCGTCATTTCAAATTTATTGTATGATTGCTTATGTGAGTTGTTTATATCACGAGTCACCGTCCATGATTTGTTTCTTCGTGACCCATTAAAGACAACAATGTAAAACATTATTATTAGAAACACTATAAAGGCAACTCCTAGCACTGTGGATATAGAAATAATGACCGCATCACGATCACTGATCTGCCTGCTTTCAAAAGGTCCTGAAATGTTTTCTACTTTGTTGGTTGTTGGTGTCAAGGGGAGCGTTGTCGTGACAACGGGTGATGGAGAATTTGATGATGTAGCTGCTACAGAAGTTGTTCGTGGGATTGCAGTCGTCTGTCTGGTGGTTATAACGCCAGCAGTTGACATTCGTTCTCTTGTTGGTAATAGAGTCGTATCTTGTTCGGTTGTTACTTTATTGGTAGTCATTTGTTCCGTCGTTATTTCAGGTGTGGTAATTCTTTCTGTACTGGGTTCAGTTGTGGTAATTTGTTCTGTCGTCGGTTTAACTGTGGTAATATGTTCAGTAGTCGGTTCAACTGTGGTAATATGTTCAGTAGTCGGTTCAACTGTGGTAATATGTTCTGTGGTCGGTTCAACAGTGGTAATTTGTTCTGTGGTCGGTTCAACCGTGGTAATATGTTCTGTGGCAACTGTGGTAATTTGTTCTGTGGTCGGTTCAATCGTGGTAATTTTTTCTGTGGTAGGTTGAACAGTGGTCATTAGTTCTGTGGTCGCTTCAACTGTGGTAATATGTTCAGTAGTCGGTTGAACTGTCGTTATTTGCTCTGTAGTCGGTTCAACTGTGGTCCCTTGTTCCGTTGTCGGTTTTATTGTGGTTAGTTGTTCCGTTGTCACCGTTTCTGTTGTCGGAGCGACGGTTGTGGTGGTGGTTGTCGTGGTTGTAGTTAGCCACTGTGTATTGATATAATGGTGAACTGTTTGATTCTGCCACTCTATGGGGGCATTACAGCGATATCCATCTGGCCATTGTTGAACTACAGACCTCCCAGTGTCGTTTGCAAATACAGTGAAGTCCACAAGTCTTCCATCACACGTGTACGGATTCTTGCTACCGTCAAAGAAGCTCCACTCTCGTAAACAGTCCATAGTTTTGGAATCTATGCTGTTGAACATATTATTCGATATATCGACATTCTGTATGGTTGGATTTGCACATAGTGCCTCGGGTATTGATTGGAGCTTATTCCCTTGCAATTTGAGTTCATTTAGACGCGCACAACCAGAAAAGGCATCAGGTGCGATGTTTCTGATGAGGTTATTATCTGCAACTATTCTAGTGAAGTTCAGTCCTTTAAACGACGTCGTCACTTGCGTCAACCGACAGTTTGTAAGATATATTTCAGATATACTAGACTGTGTTTCGAATACAGCATTTGACAGGTAAGTCAAAGGATTATTGTTCAAGTATAGTTTAGACAATGTATATAGTCCCCAGAGTTCTTGGCTTTCCAAACTGGAAAACTGGCAATCGCTTAGATCCAATGTGTCAATATCAGAAACGCCTCGAAAGGATTTATCAGCGATGTAGAAAAGAGGGTTTCTACTAAGATCCAAATACTTTAAACCCGTAAGTCCGACGAATTCGTTAAAAATAGTGATCTGCTCAAACTTGTTCCGACTTAAATCAAGGTGTCGGATGGACTTCATTGGATAAAATGAGTACTGATCAATTCCTGAAATCAAATTTCGAGACAAGTCCATGTTCTTCAAAGATTGCAGATGTACGGCTTTGTCTTTTAAAAAAATTGTTACACGCTCCAAGGCGCACCCAGCTAACGATAATGTCTCCAGTTGCTGCATGTTCAAAAATGCATCGTTATCAATATGAGCTAAGTTGGTATTGTTTTCTATATAAAGTTCTTTTAGGCGCCTAAATCCATCGAAAGCCCTTTTAGGCAAGCTTTTAATATCGCAGCCTGAGATGTCAAGAAACTGTAAATTGAAAAGAGGTTTGAATGTGTCTTTTGTAATATTTACAAATGTTGGATTCCCTTTCACTGACAATTTAGACAGTCTCTTGCCAGCAAGAGCTAATGAGAATTGACGTAATGTGTCTTCCGTGAAAAGGTTGCCATCAATTGTTACACGATCAGGGTTGCAGTTATCAAGTGCCTCGGCGGATATAGAAACAAGTTCGTTATCCGAAAGGTCTAAAACATCTAACTCGGTTAGTCCAGCTAAACCACGTGGTTCAATAGCAACCACCCCATTACTACGTGCGCTCAAAGTTTTCAATTGTTGAAGATACGAAAATGAGTTGTTCCTGATTGTATTTATATTGTTGTAATCGAGATATAGTTCTGTGGTGAATGGGTCCAGGTCAACTGGAACCGAACTCAATCCCAAACTGCTACAGTTCGTAATTCTTTTAGCGCCATCAACAGTCGTGGCACATTGTGACATCGATGGCGTTTGGGCAGATACGCCCACTACGCAAGACAGTATGAAATATATGAGGTATGTTGATGATAGAGTAGGCCAGCTACTTCTTACATTCCTGTGGTGAAAATGTATGGACGATGACATGGTTGAGTCAACTTCTCGACTGAAGGGCTTCATTAGTGTGATCGACGGTCAAGCGCCTTCGACTCTGTAGGCGGTTATTTGATGGCCGGACGTCGCTTCAGCTATTAGCGGACTTTTCATTGTCGTTCTCCACAGACTATATCATGTCGTTGTCTAAAAATATTTATTAAATTCATTAGAGATATCTATTACGTCGCAAACTATAAAGCTGTATAAAAGTGTTTGATCCGCTAGTGATATTACAATAATAGTGTGAATAATTTCCCTATTAAGTTTCCCTATTACGAAAAACTATGACAAAACCTTACCTTTACGTTATAAGAGTCGTCCGATATGTCTTTTGCGTTAAAATACCATTGAAATTGTGTTAAGACCTCACGCCCTCCTTCGGTTGTATTTTACCAAGTACGAGTTCAAGTGTAATTTGTTGATAAGAAATAGTATAAGTTATTGAATGTAAAATATTGTTTATTATTAACTACCTACAAGTGTTATCTTGTTTGGCGTAAATACAAAAAAGTCAACCTCTTCAGATTGTCAATCGTGTCCTGTTAAAACACTGTCTGAATTTTTACTGCATGTTTAGATTATAAAACAATGTGACAACTTTGACAAAAATGTGGTTTGAGATAACACCGAATTCGAATGTTATCTTCAAATGATTATGATTGCAAATGAAAATATGATATCATAATTAACCATGCGGTCTATAAGAGTTACATAGCAGTCTAGAGTTACACAGTAGGTTTAATCAAAGGCACAGAATCCTTTTTATGAATCTTTGCTCTAGTTATAAACTACCGAGTGAAAATGAAGTTCTCTTTTAAGAAACCAAGTCAAAGAATCCAAAGGTTAATGTGTAACAGCAGGTATTATTTATTAAAAAAACTGTTTAAGGAGCGTCAGTTGTGACCACATTTGGAACTGTTTGCATATGTTGCCATTTGTCAAAAACACTTGTGAAATATCCACTGAAAAGTTCCTAGAATTTTTTTGTTTTTCACCTCCCAACCTCCTCAGATTAACCCCTCCACAAAACATGAAACATATACCGGTACTTTGAATGACCTAAGACTAACTTACTGCATGGAAAAGCATATAATTGTATTGAACCATCTCTACACAATATGTATAAACTTTATTGTTTGGTTTAAGTATAATGTTCACTGTTCATACAAATAGGCAATACCAGATAGAATGTCTTTCAATCAACCCTGATGAAAAGATTTCCAATTTGTGGAAACAACTAAATGTTAGATTTTGGATTTCATTGATATCCTGTCATGTATTTTGCTGGAATGTTATTTCCTCAACACTGATACAAAATTCCCTGACATTTCCCTGACATATCTACTGTTTCAAAATTCCCTGACATCTTTGGCCCTTTTTGACCCAATTTTAAAGGATATGTCCGGGTATATGCCCTTTCGGTCCCTCAGTCAAATGTATGTGAAATATGGTTTTTATAACTGTCCTAGCTATATTTGATAAGTATATTTACTTTTTCACGAGTTTTGATGCATAATTAACCCCCTGCTGAGAGTCAGAATAAGTATCTTAACAAAAACAAAAATAGTCATTATCATAGAAAAAACACCAATGGTAACATGTATGACATACAAAGAAGAAATAACTTAAGACCCATGAAGAATTAAAAAGAAAATCATATTTTTGAAATAATTTTAAGGATTACTAGTAAATTTTTTTTCAAATTTTTGAATTTCCCGCCAGTTTAATTTGAAGGGGGAAAAACAAGATGGTTGCCATTTGATGTAAGAAATATAAGTAAAAAAGTTGCTTCACTTTTAGTTTTCACAATGAGCACAGTTTTTCGGTTTAAGTTTTTTGAATGATTCCGACTCTTCATCACCAGGGTCATGTATAGAGATTATAAAATTGAAACCAAAATGTTGTGCTCAGCATGAATTTGACTGAAATATGTGTAACATCACCAACACAATTGAAGTCTCAAAACTGGATGCTCAGTAATTTTGAGTGACTATAATCCCTTGATTACCCAGATAAACACCAATCCACTTATCCAGAAATACCATTCAATGTCTATACAAAGAAAGTAACCAATGTTTTGGAAGATATGTTTCAAACTTTTTGCATAAATAATTCATTTAATATTTGCCATTGATTTTTTTTCAATTCTGACAAAGTGATATGCACTGTCTTTGATGCCAATATTCTTCATCAATTGTGATACAAATTGATATTTTTGCAATCTCAGAAGAAGGGTAAGGTATTGAAGTTTAATAATATGCGTGATTGAGTTGGCTTTTCAGACATTACAATTTTCTAAGTCGATACCCAGACTCATTCCCAGACTCATCCTTTCCCTGATACCCAGACTCATCCTTTCCCTGACATTTCCAGCACCTGGAAAAATAAATCAATTTCCCTGACATTTCCAGGTGTGTATGAACCCTGCAATGGTATAGGACCGAAGAAACTTTTGAATTGTAAAAATACAAGATACCCTATAGACTGCGTTTAGGTAAATTATGAAAGAAGGTATATTGGATGATGGCAGCATGTTCATTGTATAATATCACATTATTTTGTATACATGTATTGTATAATGTCAAATTATTTTGTACATTGTATAATGTCACATTATTTTGTACATTGTATATTGTCACATTATTTTGTACATTGTATAATGTCACATTATTTTGTACATTGTATAATGTCACATTATTTTTATTGCAAACTAATGAATTTGCATTATATACAATTTATCTTTATTTCAATAAGTAATTCTGTAAAATATTATGACAGCATTAAAAGGCACATTTGATGTGTTCATAGTATAACAGATTTATATCTAGTATTGCATTCAATATTTTTTCAAATTGCACAGAAAGTTCAGTTCCAGTGAAGTATTACTACACAAATGTTCAAGTAGAATCATTGGAAGGTTTAACAGGTTCACCAGAATTTTCTGTTAAATCACTTGTAATTTTCCCAGATTCTTCAGAATTTTCTGCTGATTCACTTGACTTTATCACAGATTTCTCGGAATTATCTGTAGAATCTGTTGGACTTTGAACAGGATCAGAAGAATTCTCTGATGAATCATTTGTTTTGATGGAATTTTCTGTAGAATCACATGGTATTTTGTCAGCGTTTCCTGCAGACTCAGCAGGTGTTTGGACAGAATCGCCGGAAACTTCAGCCGAATCACTTGGAGTTTTAGTTGTATCACTAGGAATGTTTTCCACTTCGTTAATGTCACCTGAATCGATGGGAAGATTTTTCTCATCCAGAAAGTCATCTAAGGCTGCCTGGTCATCTGCGTCGAGTGCAACATCAGCGATATCAAGTTCTACTTTACTATCAGTGTCCCCACTGCTAACACTGGTTTGTCCTTGGAAAAAATAACATAACATCCAATATGGAAACGTGTACGATGTATGAAGGAGGGGGGGGGGGGAAACGACTGTTTTAGCCAAGGAAGATTCAAAATTGGATAAGTATGGAGCCATCATGGAATTATCTATTAGTTTATCATAATTTATCATAACTTTGTGTTTCCACATTCTCCTTGGCTAATATTGGCTTTGCCAAGTTTATATTGGAATTAAAGGAAAATGTATTGAACTAAATAATCAATACATTAGAACAGATGAACAGACGTCAAATGGACATTCCAAAGGCTCACCCGGCATATGAATCAAATTTACTGAGTATTACTCACTTTCAGTTTTGCCATGTGTTTTGAAATATTTCATATCATCAGCAAATGCTTCATCCAGGGCATCCTGTTTGTCTTTCAGTTGCTTCAATCTCCTCTCTTCCATGTCTTTCACTTTGCTTGCATGCTGCATGGCGAGTTCAACTGCAATTAACCAAGATCCATTTTCATATTTACATGTACATGTAAGTAATGGTCTTGTATTCAGGAAGTGATTTTTGTTTTATCTGATTCACTTCAAAAGAATAAGTCAGTCTTTTTTTGTCAAAAGTTCTTCTCTTGTGTATTCTCTTTTTCGTCTTCTTTTATTACTGGATATAACATATCGCCTAGTTTATCAGATTCTTATTGTAATAATCAAACACAGTTTTGATTCTTTTGACTTGATTGATATTTATTTCTGACAGAGCCTGCAGTTTACAGTTTCCATCTATCAACCCCTCATTATGTATGTTTGTATTCAATGGGTCTCTATTTAGATGTGACAAGCAAAAAATGAACATTTGTATTGTTGAATACAAAGACAAGTCCGCAACTGCACTTAAACAGGTATGACAACCAGTGCTCTCCTTAGGGCAAAATTAGTCACAGGACCAACGGAGTGACAAGTCGGAAGTGTTCACCAGTCCAGACCAAAAGTAGCCAGTCCCTGGACTGACTACTTCTAATTAGTAGCTGGTTCAGACTGGTTCTTGGCAGTCCAGAAAAAAATGAAAAATCGGAGTAGACTAACATTTTTGGCCTTTGGCCCAAAATCACTTGAAAGGGCTCAGAATGGTGCAAAACTGCAAGATTTTGAAAAAAAACTTAACAAGACCTTTAGGCCTACCCTGCTCAACCTTTTACCTTTCATAGTCTCAACCTCAGTGTTCTTCTTCTGTGTGAAAAAACGTTAACAAGACCTTTAGGCCTGCCCTGCTCAACCTTTTACCTTTCATAGTCTCAACCTCAGTGTTCTTCTTCTGTGTGAAAAAACGTTAACAAGACCTTTAGGCCTGCCCTGCTCAACCTTTTACCTTTCATAGTCTCAACCTCAGTGTTCTTCTTCTGTGTGAAAAAACGTTAACAAGACCTTTAGGCCTGCCCTGCTCAACCGTTTACCTTTCATAGTCTCAACCTCTGTGTTCTTCTTCTGTGTGAAAAAACGTTAACAAGACCTTTAGGCCTGCCCTGCTCAACCTTTTACCTTTCATAGTCTCAACCTCAGTGTTCTTCTTCTGTGTGAAAAAACGTTAACAAGACCTTTAGGCCTGCCCTGCTCAACCTTTTACCTTTCATAGTCTCAACCTCAGTGTTCTTCTTCTGTGTGAAAAAACGTTAACAAGACCTTTAGGCCTGCCCTGCTCAACCTTTTACCTTTCATAGTCTCAACCTCAGTGTTCTTCTTCTGTGTGAAAAAACGTTAACAAGACCTCTAGGCCTGCCCTGCTCAACCGTTTACCTTTCATAGTCTCAACCTCTGTGTTCTTCTTCTGTGTGAAAAAACGTTAACAAGACCTTTAGGCCTGCCCTGCTCAACCGTTTACCTTTCATAGTCTCAACCTCTGTGTTCTTCTTCTGTGTGAAAAAACGTTAACAAGACCTTTAGGCCTGCCCTGCTCAACCTTTTACCTTTCATAGTCTCAACCTCAGTGTTCTTCTTCTGTGTGAAAAAACGTTAACAAGACCTTTAGGCCTGCCCTGCTCAACCGTTTACCTTTCATAGTCTCAACCTCTGTGTTCTTCTTCTGTGTGAAAAAACGTTAACAAGACCTTTAGGCCTGCCCTGCTCAACCTTTTACCTTTCATAGTCTCAACCTCAGTGTTCTTCTTCTGTGTGAAAAAACGTTAACAAGACCTTTAGGCCTGCCCTGCTCAACCGTTTACCTTTCATAGTCTCAACCTCAGTGTTCTTCTTCTGTGTGAAAATACTTTAACAAGACCTTTAGGCCTGCCCTGCTCAACCTTTTACCTTTCATAGTCTCAACCTCAGTGTTCTTCTTCTGTGTGAAAAAACGTTAACAAGACCTTTAGGCCTGCCCTGCTCAACCTTTTACCTTTCATAGTCTCAACCTCAGTGTTCTTCTTCTGTGTGAAAAAACGTTAACAAGACCTTTAGGCCTGCCCTGCTCAACCTTTTACCTTTCATAGTCTCAACCTCAGTGTTCTTCTTCTGTGTGAAAAAACGTTAACAAGACCTTTAGGCCTGCCCTGCTCAACCTTTTACCTTTCATAGTCTCAACCTCAGTGTTCTTCTTCTGTGTGAAAAAACGTTAACAAGACCTTTAGGCCTGCCCTGCTCAACCTTTTACCTTTCATAGTCTCAACCTCAGTGTTCTTCTTCTGTGTGAAAAAACGTTAACAAGACCTTTAGGCCTGCCCTGCTCAACCTTTTACCTTTCATAGTCTCAACCTCAGTGTTCTTCTTCTGTGTGAAAAAACGTTAACAAGACCTTTAGGCCTGCCCTGCTCAACCTTTTACCTTTCATAGTCTCAACCTCAGTGTTCTTCTTCTGTGTGAAAAAACGTTAACAAGACCTTTAGGCCTGCCCTGCTCAACCGTTTACCTTTCATAGTCTCAACCTCAGTGTTCTTCTTCTGTGTGAAAAAACGTTAACAAGACCTTTAGGCCTGCCCTGCTCAACCGTTTACCTTTCATAGTCTCAACCTCTGTGTTCTTCTTCTGTGTGAAAAAACGTTAACAAGACCTTTAGGCCTGCCCTGCTCAACCTTTTACCTTTCATAGTCTCAACCTCAGTGTTCTTCTTCTGTGTGAAAAAACGTTAACAAGATCTTTAGGCCTGCCCTGCTCAACCTTTTACCTTTCATAGTCTCAACCTCAGTGTTCTTCTTCTGTGTGAAAAAACGTTAACAAGATCTTTAGGCCTGCCCTGCTCAACCTTTTACCTTTCATAGTCTCAACCTCAGTGTTCTTCTTCTGTGTGAAAAAACGTTAACAAGACCTTTAGGCCTGCCCTGCTCAACCTTTTACCTTTCATAGTCTCAACCTCAGTGTTCTTCTTCTGTGTGAAAAAACGTTAACAAGACCTTTAGGCCTGCCCTGCTCAACCGTTTACCTTTCATAGTCTCAACCTCAGTGTTCTTCTTCTGTGTGAAAAAACGTTAACAAGACCTTTAGGCCTACCCTGCTCAACCTTTTACCTTTCATAGTCTCAACCTCTGTGTTCTTCTTCTGTGTGAAAAAACGTTAACAAGACCTTTAGGCCTGCCCTGCTCAACCTTTTACCTTTCATAGTCTCAACCTCAGTGTTCTTCTTCTGTGTGAAAAAACGTTAACAAGACCTTTAGGCCTACCCTGCTCAACCTTTTACCTTTCATAGTCTCAACCTCAGTGTTCTTCTTCTGTGTGAAAAAACGTTAACAAGACCTTTAGGCCTACCCTGCTCAACCTTTTACCTTTCATAGTCTCAACCTCAGTGTTCTTCTTCTGTGTGTAGAACTGAAGTTGGGCAATATGATGCTGTTTGTTGGAGAACAGCTCAACTTGTTCAATGATATCTTCCAGGTTCAACAGCTGTGACTCAATGTCTTCAAATGAACCCTCCAAGGAGGCTGAAATGTGAGAAAAGATAATACAATATGAGGTTCAGGATATTGGATTCTTACCTAGGGCAAATATACGAGTAGTATTTCTTGGAGCCCTGAGAGCAGATATATTGTATCATCATTATTTATATTGAATCATACAACAGTACAAGTCAAGAGGAAAAACCGAATATAGTGGATATGTCAATCATATGCAGTATATACCTGCCCAAGTACACTGTATTGGAAAAAATTGTTCACATTTTATATCAATGACTAATGTCAGACAATGTCCATGATACATTTTTGACCAATATCATGTAAATGTCTGAATCATTTTAATATCTATCATTGTTATCAATGTTTCAGATGGCCATGATTAAAATTCAGGTCAGAAAATTAAAGATTGCTGTATGTCAATCTTGTTGTAAAAGTATATACTGAACCAAACTTTTATGTTTCAAGTGCATAAGCACATTACAGTAGAGTACAGTAGCTGTTACCAACCTAACATATTAGTGGCTGACTGTAGCTGTTCAAGATACCCAGGGAGACTTTCTAGCTCTGCACTGAGGGATGTCAACATCTCATTCTGCCTTTCAATTTCCAGGTAGACCTTTGATATGTTGCCATCAACTTCCTGAATCAGAATGACAGACATTAATACTATTACAACATACAGCATTTTACTTATCATATTCAACACAATTAAGGGATGGTGTCAAAATATCATAAGTTGTGCAAAAACAAAGTTGTTTGTTTCTCACTTGATTATTCAAATACTCAAAATTCTTCACTAATAAAATTATAAATTACTTTCTTCTCCATAAGAAATAAACTTTGTTCTGGTTGAATGCTCTGTTGATAACTGGTCATTATTTTTAACATTATGACATTTCTTTATATTTCTAAATAACATACTGTAAACACTACCAAAACGTCAGTTATAACTTTAAAATTCTTCTATATTCTTTAATTGGCAAAGTTCAGCTTTAATCTAGAATCGGTTGAATGGTAGTGTGGGGAGGGATGGTGCATGGTAAAAACCTGTCTAATCTGAATGCTACAGGGCCAGCCAAAAGTGATCAGATTAGCAGGTGTTCACATTTCAGTTTTTTTAATGTGTGAGTCGATGGGAAATAACAACCTAAAAAGGGTTCACATTGAGAGGTGTTCAGGTTAGAAAGGTGTTCAAATAAACAGGTTTTACTGTATGTGTTAAAATAAATGAACTCTGGGTAGGTAAATATAGAAATGAAAAAGTATTGTCTTTACCTGTGCACACCATGCATTTTCCTCTGCTGTATCATGTAACTTAATCCAGTCTTGTTGGTACCTAGAAAGTACAAACACATTGTTAAAAGAAGTTTGTGATTGGGTTCAAATACTGACGTCATTTAAGGTTGAAATATGTCTAATTAGAATTATTGCTATAAATCAGATTACTTACAATTATATTAAATTATATAACTTCTGATCAAATAATTCTATTGTTTGTTGAAAGCATTCCAATATGAACAGGAAATTAACATGCAAAATGCCACCACCTGCCATTTGTAACAGGCACCAACTGTCTAAAAAAGTTTGTAGACCATAACAATATGTCACGACATAACTAGTTATAAATAAAAATAACATGATCCTCATTGTCCAGAGCATGGTTTGATTGTCAATTTCATTGCAGGACTTGTAATACATATTTTAAACTCCTTGGGGTTTTGAATTAAACCTTGCGGTGACAGCACTTATTAATACAAAGTCTCAACTAAGTTTAAAAGGGATGAACTAGACATTTTGGAATTGATATTATAAGACTTTTTAAATGTCAAATTTCCATCCTAAAACAGAGAGATACCTGTTAAGAAGATCAGCACCAGCATCTAGATTAATATCCTCCAGTCTAGATTCTTTGACAGGAGACTTGGCCTTTTGTGTAAATGCTGAACTTAATCTAAAATAATAACATACAAAAGTCAAATACATTTATATACAAGGGATCATCTCACTGAATATAGGAAACAAAGAACTTCAGAGCCATTCAATCTTTACCATTCAATTTCTGAAAATGCTATATTTTTGCTTCGTCACACAATAAAACCTTAAAATAAAGGAATCATTAGGGCAAAATTCCGTAATATATGGAAAAAGTATAATCACATAAAGGTAGTATTGTACACGAATGACATTTATTTATTTCATATTAATAAGTTTTATGTGCAATAAATCCCTGGCCTGATTTCCAGTCATGTCAACTAAAAGTTGATCCCCCTACACCCTGGCAGAAGGTCATCTGACCAACTCTTTCTTAACAGGCATCATACGCCATTGAAGGTGATCTCACAATGTTCCCTGTTGTTTTCTAAGTTTGGATGGTGTAGTTTTACCGTTGTTAAAAATGATGATGCGCGGCTCGTGGAAATGGCGTCAGGAGTAGATAACTGGGTCAGATGGGTTTAGTTAGTAAAATACAAATGTATTGAATGAACAGTGAAATGATGCTGAAAAAATAAACTTTTAATGGAATGCCCTTGTCTTGTATACAGCTGCAAAATTTCCAGACATACATTTAGCCACCAAAGATTAGCTACATTGCACGTGTACACATGTTATTTCATCATGTTTAGACGGTTCATTCTGACGATGTACATTGTGATCCTGGTCATGTAAATGATATGTGGAACTAGTTAAACTGACTAGAGGTCAAAACAGAACTCTGATTTAACCAGCGAAGTGATGATGACATTACAATAGATCTACATTGTACTTACTGACAGTCCCGGACTCCGGTGTAAAAGCGTAGGAGGTCCTATTAATTTATGGCCCTACTCTCCATTGATTTATATGGTGACCTCTTTGTGCTCTTTCCTTTATTATCTTACATACAATCAGGGCCAGTAATGGCCTTTAAAAGGGGGGACCATAATCCCTGGGGGACCATAATTTCTTTCACACCGGGTACAGTGGGGAACATAAAGAATTACTATAGCTATGAAAATTACATGCTGTCGCACATGTAATAAATTCTTACCTTAGTATATTCAGTGCTCTATTTTCTCCATCCTAGTGAGTCCAAATATATTGGAATTTGTGTCCATAATAACAAATAAGAACTTAAAAGTTGAAGTGGATATTCACATGTTAATGCCGATTCTTCAAATGTTGAGGTGATTTTGGAGCCCGATTACGTCGCAAAGTGAATTGGCTCCCAGAATGCAACATGACACCATGGGCTTTCAACTAGAAGGGTATGCAACTCTATGTAATAACATGAGACCTTCAAAATGAGCAATGACATGCTTCCCTTTTATGGCAATATTTCAAAAAGTATTAGATAAATGTATATGTTTTAGTATTATTTTGAATAAAAATCAATTTTTAATATGATTTAAGCATAAAATATATTCAATATCATATAAAAGTAAACAAAAGAGACCAATAAGTATAAGAGTTATCAAGATGTTCTCTTTGAGTATTGCATTGTGGGTAATTATTCAAGAACACATTCCAATAAAAACATAATTTGTGGGAGAATGTTCACTTTCTGTATTGTGATAATTATGATGAATTCTAATTTTTATTAAATTATCAAGATGTATGTAGAAGATCATGTTTTTATTTTTGAGTTATTTCTTTTAATCATCAATAAAAAGTACAAAATAAGATTTTCTTGGAATGTGTACATTCTCCAATTTTGAAAACCCATGGCAATGTTTATGTATGAAATATGGGAAGTTGCCTACCCTTCTAGTTGAAAGCCCATGATGACACGTGCCAGCTTTCAAAATGCTGTTCTGCCATTTTGAAACCTGTCACGAGTAAATAAGATTAACTGATGTTGCATTTTGGGAGTCAATCCTCTTTGGATCACAAACATGGCGATTCATGAAAACATTCGTTCGATTTGGTAGGGATTTATCCATCATTTGCAGGTATAAAGCTTTGGATTCATTTATTGTGCTACTTAAAGTGAACGGGAATTTCTACCGCTTGGAAGAGTTTGAGACACGAAACTTAGAAATTAGCTCATTGTGACAAAATTTTGATGGTTGAGGTTTATTTTTGTTCCCCACTTTACAAAAATATTTTATGTGAACATTCAATCATGGATATACTTTACCCTTGTTGGACATTTTGAAAAGTCCCTCGTAGACTTTGTAAAACACTCATCTTCAACGCAATATATAATGATCAAGCACAGAGACAGTCTCGAGAATACATATGGAATAGTTTTAGAAAACAAATTCAGCCATTTTGAACAGTCATGTGACTCGTAACTTATGGAACTTATGCGCTAATTTTACGAACGAATAAGATTTTACTGCTCAAATGCAGGTTCGTTTTTCTGATTCTTGATCTTCAGGTTAAAGAAACCTTGAAATATGAGCATGTTTGCTGCTCATATTTCTCAGTTTCCTTTTGCTATGAGTATCTAGGATGAGGTCTCTTATAGATTCTGGATTTCCCGGGGTTAAAGTAAATAAGGTACTGTTTCGTTCACTATAAGAGTTTCAGATATGAGGCGTGCCATGAGCATTAGCCAATAGAAAATCACACTCGATTCACATCTATGACCCGAAAATGAGATGCAAATGTGCAGTTGTCCTACATTTGGTAAGATATTTGGCATATCATTTAATGTAACTGTATGATATTAATACAAAATGTGTATACTATGCTGCTGTATAAGTGTTAGAAATGTGGAACGAATTCGTTATGAGGAAACGTGTAAAAATTAATGTTGATAAACGAAATTATTTTCACTTTCAGCCATGTTTTCTTTCTTCAGCACTGGTCATGGAAGAAGTGTTATATGTGCTCTTTATAATTGTGTGGTGAACAGTTTGCCAGCTGACTGTTTGAATTTGGGTCTTGCAGATGATTCATTTTCTCTACTACCACAAAATGATGTGTTCAGAGCACAGGGGCTTGTCTCGAGGCGTCGGGCAAGCCCTCCGATGAGTCTACTGCTTATTAAGAGTATTAAGGGTGCTCTATTTTGATGCTTCCTGAAATTTGTAGAAAATGATTGTTAGATATATCCAGTAAAAACATAAGGAATCCTTTCAACAATCGACATGCTGATTCAAACAGCTCTGCAGAGTAAAGTTACCCAAAATGGTAGAATTCCATCCTCTAGTTTCTGAGAAATCTGAAGAATATGTAAAGAAGTGATTACACTGCAAGTACCGACAATTTTTGCAACCAAATCATTACCTCCAGAGTCGATTTCTTCCTCAAGACACGTCCACTGTTATAAATTGGTAGTTCCTAGAGTTCTTTGTTTCCTTAGGTTCATTCCCGTACGTTATTTTTACCGAAGGACAGCCTATAACGACTGCTATACGCAAAAAGATGCATGAAATTAAGTGTTTCAAAACTGAAAGTTGAAAAATGGTGACTTTCCCATGTTCTATGCGCAGGTGCGTTCAATCCAGCAATTTGATTAGTTCATATTATATGAACGCATGCGCAATAACTACATATATTTTTAGATAGATGTCACTTGCGTTCATTATTTCACAGCAGTCCCTTCCCATGATGCACCTAATATTGCGGAAATTTTCCTTTAGTGATAAAACTAATAACTCTCATCTTCGAAATACGTTTTCCATTCCTTGGCAATAATCTTTCATTTGGTATCTAAGTATAACCGAACCAACCGCCGAAAAGTAATTCGAATCCTTCTGAATCTTGGGAATGAAGTACTTTCATTTTTGCGCATGCGCCGCTCATGCGCATAGAACACCGGAAAGTCGCCATTTTTCAACTTTCAGTTTCGAAACTTTTAATTTCATGCATCTTTTTGCGTATAGCAGTCGTTATAGGCTGTCCTTCGGTAAAAATAACGTACGGGAATGAACCTAAGGAAACAAAGAACTCTAGGAACTACCAATTTATAACAGTGGACCTGTCTTGGGGAAGAAATCGACTCTGGAGGTAATGATTTGGTTGCAAAAATTGTCGGTACTTGCAGTGTAATCACTTCTTTACATATTCTTCAGAAATCTCAGAAACTAGAGGATGGAATTCTACCATTTTGGGTAACTTTACTCTGCAGAGCTGTTTGAATCAGCATGTCGATTGTTGAAAGGATTCCTTATGTTTTTACTGGATATATCTAACAATCATTTTCTACAAATTTCAGGAAGCATCAAAATCGAGCACCCTTAATACTCTTAATAAGCAGTAGACTCATCGGAGGGCTTGCCCGACGCCTCGAGACAAGCCCCTGTGGTTCAGAGGGACTCGCTCTCAGGGAGGCAATGTCGTTTGTGTGCAGCCTGTTACGCTGCATCAAAGCAACCAGTTGACTCTACAAAATAAGAAATCTAAAGACTATTGTACAATAATACATAGGAGAATAGATTCACATTGCACACGAATGACATTTCTAATCTTGGATGGTTTGTGAATTGGCTTATAAAGTCTGTAACTACTTATATTTTGATGCTTCCCTGCCATGTTAATTCTGAAATAAAGAACATGGCGGATAGACCACAAATTACAAGAGGCCACAGGCTTATTGCACTAAACACTAAATAATCTGAAATATACAAATGTCATTTGTACATGCACTGTGCGGTATGAATAATATGGTTTCCATATATTATTAATACATAATAATCTTTAGATTTCTTATTTTTTAGGTTCAACTGGTTTCTTTGAAGCAGTGTAACAGACTGTAGGTTATTGTCAGACAAATGACCACATGCACTGAGTGTGACTATTACCTATATGTACTCTACTGATTTAGATCAGATCTACATGTTTTCGAAACAAAATTGACACTGCACAGAGCTGACCAGAACAGATAGATAGTGGATTTCCTCAGGCCATTAATTGGAAAAGTAGTAGTAAGCTTAGCAGGCCTGTTGCCCAGAAGTAGGGGGAGGCAGAAATTCTTTCAAAATCATGCAGTTCGTTGGCTAAAGTTGTCAAATGTGAACCCCCATGGGATTTTTTTAAAAGTGAACATTTTGACAAAAGCTGGCTACAGGCCTGCTTAGTATACTACAGTTCTCTCAAAAATAAGCGAAGAGTGTTGTTTTTAGCACATTTTGCTGATGAATTTTAACATAAAATACCCCAAATTCTCCCAAACTGCAGAAAACACATCCTGCAAATTATATTTACTAGCATATGCATGATATTTCCCACTAATTTGAGTTTCGATTGCTGAAGTATGGGCATTCTCCGTCAATTTTGGTTCGATATTTATGATAAGTGCTCAGGAGTGAATACATGTCCTTGAAATAAGAGTCCAAGGCCTCTATAGGCAAATACATAATGGAAGGAACATTTTGTTTATTTAGAAAACTTATTCTTATTTATATTTAGACTGTACTTCTTTTCTTTAGGCCCTGGTAGAGTTGTCCTGGAAGGAAAATATGCCCTCCAGACCAAAAGCCTATGAAGGAATGTAACCAATTGAATTGGCCAACTGACACTTATGAATTGTGAGAATGAAGCCTCTGTATTTGCCATGTTTGATTTTGAGAAAATCAGGAATTAATATGAAACAACTGATATTAACAAGGAATTGACATTACTGTTATGCTTGGGAGATCACAGACAGCAACATATTGACCATGTCCAAACAAATGTTATAATTTTAACAAACCCACAAATTTTTTAAATTGTATTTCAGGAAAGTACTCTCCAGGTATAAATATCTCTGATATATGCATTTAAATGACATACTGTTTGCAAACATGGTAAAAGAAAATGGATCAATTATGCAAGCTAATTGGAGCTAATTTTTTGTTATATAGTATACTCTCTGTCTTGAATGATAGGTTCACTATTGCAGAAATCCCACAAGATCAGCACAGTAGCAGCATTCTTTACATTTACACCAAAAAGATGACCAAGTCTGTACTATATATTCAAGAGGGATTTATCTATTGCAACCAAAAACAGTGTTTCACATTTTTGGATTTCTCAGGCAAACAACTGACAACAACAGGCAGAATTATTGGAAATAGCTCAAAATTTTATGAAACAACATGTTAGAAAATTGCCTGTTGCCTGTTCCTGAATATCTAAGAGGGTTTGATGTCAATCAATGTTTGTATACATTTGATTTTCACAGGATTCTTTCTCAAGTACGTGCAAATTCACAATTCAGACCAAATTTGGTCAAAGTATGGTCATTTTTTTCATGATTTTTCCAATTTTTTAAATGGGTGCAAACAGATTCTCAAGTGGGTGCAAGACTATTATCAAAATCTCAGGTGGGTGCTGCGCCCACTTGTTTCAATGCTAGGGAGATCATCGAGCCTAATATCAGCCTATACATAACACAAAGGATGAATCTGATAATGCAATAAGGTTTTAATGTATCACAAGTGGTGACATATTGTTATGGTCCCCAACTTTTTTTTTTAGAGATGGTGTTTGGTCGTTGGTGTTCAGCATCTGTAACAAATGGCAGGTGGTGACATTTTGCATGTTAATGCCTTGTTAATTTCTATAATACCCAAAGAACAGAGGTCCTTATATTTTAGAGTTTTACCTCTTTGAATATGACTAAATAGATGACATCATTGAATCAAAAAGTTCGAGTTTTTATTCAATTAAGAATTTTGAAGTCAAATGATATACCGTTCACCACATTGTTTTTTCCTTTCATAAAGATGCACATTATTTTTGGGAATAAATCAATTGTTTTATTATTTAACTCAGGATGATATATATTGTATTTTCTTTTCAGGTGGAAGTATGAATGTGATTTGCTTCACTTTTCTGTTGCCATCTTGTTTTGAGCAAAAGTGATGATTTGGTAGAAGATTCATTCTTCTTGTCCTATCTCAACTTATTTATGAAGAAAAACTCAGTCATCATTATGTAAAGTTTGGAGCTGTTTTGATGGCATAATATCACCAATTAAGCACAACAAATGGCCAAAAGATGATCCTGTTCTTGTGAATAATTGAAAAATTCAACTAATTCTTGATTCGTCAATTATTTTTAATTCAGTTCTCGCAATTTTTGGAATACAACATGATGAACATGCTCATTGTCATTAAATCTTTAGAATCATTAAATATTACATAAATAAACATTCTAGAATAAATTCACTATGTGATCTGAATTTTATGTTTGAACCTGATTCCCCAGAGCAGACATATTCCGCATAGTGGAGGAAATTTTAACATCTCTTTTTGACAAAATATAAAAGGACCCTATAACTCTAGGTCTTACTAATACTTCCATGATGAGGCATGTTAATATTATATTATTAAGGGATCGGAATGTGACATCAGTTAAAGGAAACATTAACACTGTATAAGAGCTAAAGCCTTTCCAGTAGCTTCCACTTCCCTAAGTGCAATAGTGTTATAAAACTTCAAACTAAAGAAAAGTTTGTAACTCCCAAATGATATACCCATTGCATGTAGAAGGTTATATTCCTTCAATTAATCAATCATCTTGAGTTAAAAATTCATATTTATTTCATAAAAATAGCATGACCCGATAGCGGACAAATTTTGTGATCCTTTCCCATGGATTTAATAGCCTTACTGGGCCCTAGGGGGATATGTGACAAAAAACGAAAATGGTAACCTAAAACATTTTGTCAAGCAACAATTTTGAAAAGTTAATGAATATAAAGGACAAATTGTAATCACAGGCAATGAAAAGAAAGTTACTTAAAAATTATAAGAAGAAAATGCATTCTTAACTTTGACATTAACAACATTTTTGAATTAAGGCGACACATGTTGGGGGAATTACGACATTTGAATGAAACGCAACCACAAGAGACTTCTGTCAATTTCTTGTATAAATTGAACACCATTAAAAACAAAACAAATATTTAATTGCAAGAGAGGCTGCAACCAAAAATAAAAGACTTCGGTGCAATGAACTTAAAGATTTTGATTTTTGTATAATTAATTACATACACACAGGAAATGCCATAATTCAGTCATCGAGTTGACAATGGGCAAAGAAGCCACGGTGACTTGACTCCAATCTGTTGTGATGGTTAGAAACAGCAAAGATTTGGAAATACATTTTCATGCAGCTACTATCAGTATTATTTACGTGTTATAACATTCTGATACTCTGCACATCTTTCTGTTTCCCAATGCTGAGAAGAAATGAGATGTCATGATTTCTCATGATGAAGTTTTGAATCATGTATGTCTATTTCAGGAATGATCACATTTATCATTCAAATTTGTTCAAGTTGCCCCTCTTTATTGAAAGATTTGGAAATAGGAGAGGCCAGCTGGAACCTACAAGATGCATTATTACCACACTTTTAAAATTGCAACCAAATGGTGACATTATGTCACAGATTTGCTGAGTGCAGAGAGAATTTGCCTTTACTTACAGCTTTGTTGAATCTTGAAATTTGACCAGTTGGTGACATTTTGTCACGTAAATGCTTTGTTTATACGAATGTATATGTGTTCGTTTTATGTGCAAATTCTACAGTTATGCGAATCAATAATAAACAAGGATCTAAGACTTTTGGAGATACATGTCATTTGATTTGGAAGTTGGAGACAATGACTTGTATATACATTCCTGCTTTTCCATTTCTGCAGAAGGCAGACAGAATATCAAGGTCACAGAGATTCGAGGTCACTGGCTAGCTTAGTTCAGCCTTGCTATTCTTATTGGCTCGTGCTGAGGCAAGAGCCATATCTCACTTGGGTTAAGTAGTTAGTGATAATGACAATGGACTGAGGTTTAAACGTTTAAATGTCAACAACACCATGAAAACTGTGCATTGATTTTCGGCAACATGATTTCCTAAATACAACAGAAATACGAGCGACTTCTTGATTTAGAATTGTGAACAATTTACAGCATTAAAAAACTCCGAACATTTAACTGTTTTATTAATATCTTCGGAGAACGAGAATTAAATTGACCCATCTTCACTTTTTGATATTTGGATGTTTTTCAAGAGGTCCAGGTACTCAGACCTTCACAATTTAAAGATCTTAATCAGTTCAAGATGTTCAGATTTTTTCTACTTTTGCCGTTCGGTAAATTACAACCGCGTTTAAAGTAAGCATCTCTGTTTATCAATACAATTCATTACAACACTGCAAACATCTCCTTCACACGAGCCTTCATTTTTTTTTTTTAAATGATCTCTTGTTTAATTTTTGTCGCATTTCTCATATTTTACTGTATCTGTATGGTTTACCTTCGGTCACTTCGCATATTAAGGTGATATACTACCTATGCTGTTACAAAGAATACCAAAGACAAAATGATTTCTTTGCTTCTCTGTTGTTTTAATTACTAGGTTAGAGGCGACTACTATGACGGGGAGATTCTGAAATATTTTTGTCATATTTGTCTCATCTTAATCTAAAATTGCTAAGAAACCCTGTGGGTTCACTAGGCCTAGTTTTGACTTGCGAAGCTTCAATTTTCAGATTTATTAATTTTCAACTTGCAGTATTCATCATTTGGACTTGAAGAATTCATAATTTTGTCTGGCAGAATTCATCATTCTGTCTTGCAGAATTCATCATTTTGTCTGGCAGAATTCATCATTTTGTCTGGCAGAATTCATCATTCTGTCTTGTAAAATTCCTCATTTTGTCTTGCAGAATTCATCATTTTGTCTTGCAGCATTCATCATTTTGTTTTGCAGAGTTCATCATTTGAACTTGAAGAATTCATCATTTTTTCTGGCAGAATTCATCATTCTGTCTTGCAGAATTCATCATTTTGTCTGGAAGAATTCATCATTTTGTCTGAAAGAATTCATCATTTTGTCTGGCAAAATTCATCATTTTGTCTGGCAGAATTCATTATTTTGTCTTGCAGAATTCATCATATTGTCTTGCAGCATTCATCATTTTTTCATTTTTCATTTGAACTTGAAGAATTCATCATTCAAACTTGAAACATTTATCATTTCAATTTGCAGCATTCATCATCTGGACTTGGATGCATGAAGAATTCATAATTTAACTTGCAACATTCATTATTTCAGCTTACATCATCATTACAATTTGTAAAAAACTTTTTATTTAAAGCTTGTGTTAATTATTTTCTCTGAATTTTTCAGAAACTGAAAAGGTGTGACAGAATATAGAAGTAGTGAATTGAAGGATTGTTGACTGAAGCATGCATTTGCCACATTTGTATACATATAATACTTTTACAGGCTGATGGTCATGAAAAATGGAATGAATGATAATAATTTGGAGATCACACTGAAACCTTCTTTTGTCATTTATAGATTTGTCATATCATTCAAAATACCAAAGTGGACTTTTTACCATGTAAAATCTTAGTATGTTATGTCACTACCATAAGACACTGGTGACATATTGTTAAGTTATGCTCTGTAAACGGTGTTTAGGTGGTTACTGTTTGGCGGTTAGTGTTCAAATCGGTGTTTGGCATCTGTAGCAAATAGTAGGTGGTGACATTTGCATGTTATTGCCTTGATTTCTATTTCAACAATCCATTTTCCATGTTGTGGATTGATTTGCAACTTAGTATTATTACTTTTTATCAATATATTAACTTATATCTCAGATACATGCATCTATGAACTTAGTGTCAAATCCATTATTACACCAAATATGTATATATGTGACTATTGCAACTTGGCGACCATCTAATCTTATTTGTTGCTACATGTGTTAAAAGACATTTGTTGTGACTATTTCACAGGTGACAGCCTAGCTGCAGCATGATCAGAAAATAACAGCCAAGAAAGAGCAAAAAACATTGAAGTTGCATTGAGCAAAAATTCTGAACAGTACAATATTGAACAAAGGAGACATTCCAGGAATCATAATACGCTGTGCAATTTATAGACAAAACGAAGAAGATTTCTCGAACTTGTTTGCATAAGAAATTACTTTGAAAAATGTCTGTTATAATACGGCTTCAGAATCTACCATGGTCAGCAAATGCATTAGACATTCGGCGATTCTTCCAGGGATTGACAGTTCCCGATGGTGGCGTTCATATTGTTGGAGGAGAAAATGGAGATGCATTTATAGCTTTTAGTTCGGATGAGGATGCACGACAGGCAATGTTGAGAAATAATGGCAAGATAAATGATAATTCAGTAACATTAATGTTGAGTAGTAAAACTGAGATGCAAAATGTGATTGCGGTTGCAAGGGGACAGATGCCTGCTAAACCCCCTGTGGCGTCATCCTCTGGACCTGCCAATACTCAAGCACCACCCCTGTCATCTCAGGGATTCGGCACCAGTCGTGACCCACCAGCAATAGATGCACCCAGGTCCATGCCCCCATTAGATTTTAACAATCTCAATCGACCCTCATATTCCCAAGATGGCCCCACATTGGAGCATCCTTTAGGACCTAACTTTAGACCACCTGAGTTAAAACTTCCTGATCATGAACCACACAGATCCATGGCTCCCCAACAGCCATTGTATCAACAGCCCCCAATGAACCACCAAGGGATTCCAAGACAGCAGTTCAATGGCAATCAGGCCCATGTTTACAATCAACCTCCTAGACAAGAGTTCAATCAAGGCCCAAGGCCTGATTTCAACAACCAAGGGCCCCCAAGGCAGGATTTCAATCAAATACCTCCAAGGCAGGATTTCATCCAAGGACCAAGACCAGAATTCAACCAGCCAAGACTAGATTTTAATAATCAGCCAAGACCTGAATTCCACAATCAAGGCCCAAGACCTGATTTCAATCAGGTTCGTCCACAGATGGCACCGGGTATTCCAATGCAAGGTCCGCCACGGTTTGATCCCCCATTCGAACCTCCTCGTGATAACTTCAGGCCACCAGGGGGCCCAGACTTTGAACCAAGACACCAGTTGCCCCCAGCATTTAGAGGTGATCCCCAAGGCCCCCCAGTTCAGCAAGGTCCATTACTAGCAACCCCTATAATGCAAGGAGGGCCCCCTATGAGGCAGCCCCCAATACAAAGTAACCTCCCACCCCCTGGAGTAGTTGAGCCTGATCGTCTACCCCCACCTGGAAATTTCCCCCCTGCTAATTCATTTCCACCATACAGAGATGGACCTGATATGGATCGACGTTTTAACAATGATAGGAGATTCTCACAAGATCGGGATCGGGAAGGATTTCCTCCTCAAGGGCCGCCATTGTTGCCTGATGACCACGATGACAGAAGAGAAAAAGGGCCACCTCCCCATGGCATGCATGTTGAGATAATTGGTATGCCAAAGACAGTGAAATACAGCGACGTTAGGTCATTTTTTCAGGGATGTAGAATTTCCCAGGATGGCCTTAAATTGATCAACACGGCTGTGGGATTAAGGACTGGAAGAGGGTTCATAAAGTTTTATTCTGAGGAAGACTGTGAAAAAGCACTGCGGAGGAATCATCAGTTCATGGAAGAATGTATGGTTTCTGTTCGTCCCTGTGCCCCTGAGGACTTTGAAAATGCCATTGATTCATACACCCCTGGGGCACGTAGTAGAGGTGAATTGCGCTACCAGACTCCCCCTCCTCGAAGAATAAGAAATCGTTCAAGGTCAAGGTCACCTAGGCGAAGGTCAAGGTCACCTCATGGTCATAGAAGGTCACCTCATAAGAGAGGCAGATCCCCAGGTATGAGGTCAAGATCGCCAAAAAGAAGAGGAAGATCACCTGAAAGGAGAAGATCCCCAGCCAGAGGACGTTCCCCTACTAGAGGACAAGATCAGCGCATGGGATCAAATGATCAAAGATCAACTTCAAAACGATCTAGATCCCCATTAGGTGATAAAAGAGAAGTAAATATCGTCAGAAAAATTTCATCCTCTCCACCAAGAAAATTACCAGATATTGTAAGAAGATCTTCCCCTTCAAGACATCAAAGGAGGTCCCCTCCCAGAGGCAAATCTCCACCAAGGGAGGTAAGGCAAATCAGGCATGGCCCATCATCAAATGGACCACAAAGTGAAATGAGACCACCAAATGAAAGACATGGATCTCGGTCAAATGATAGAAGAGAACTACAAGATGAAAGATCACGTGTAAAGGATGATAAACGGGCAGAATCAAATGAAAGAAGAGGTCGTTCAAATGAGACAAGAGGTCCATCAAATGAAAGAATGCCCCTCATTGAAAGGAAAGTTCAGTTTCCAAATAAGGAAAAGGGGTCATCTCCACATGTAACACAGGAATCATCACCCCAAAGACATGGAATTCCTCTGCAAGATGATAGGCGTGGTCTTCCGCAGAATGACAGACGAGGCCATCCTCAAGATGACAGACGAGGCCCTTCACAAGATGACAGACGAGGTCATCCACAAGATGACAGACGAGGCCCACTACAAGATGACAGAAGAGGCCCTTCACAAGATGACAGACGAGGTCCTCCTCAAGATGACAGACGAGGCCCTTCACAAGATGACAGACGAGGCCCACTACAAGATGACAGAAGAGGCCCTTCACAAGATGACAGACAAGGTCCTCCTCAAGATGACAGGAATGGGCCCTTGCAAGATGACAGACTAGGCCTTCCACAAGATGAAATCCGAGGCCCTGGTCGAAACTGGCGCGGCCCCACTCAAGTAGATCGCCGTGGTCCCTCACCCATAGATCGCCATAGCCCTCATAGGAGACGCTCCCCTCCACCTAGGCATCAGAATGACTTGAGCGTCAAGCTCAGCAACTTACCAGAGAAAATTGAAAGATCAGAAGTGAAGGAATTCTTTAAGAATTTGTCGATTGATCCAAGAATTGGCTGTTATGTTGAGTTTGATAAAGATGGCAGAGTTGTTGATGATGGATGTGCTTACGTAGTTTTCACTAATTATGATGATTTCAAAAAGGCACTAAGTATGAGTGAACGTGTTCCAATGCAAGGCAAATATATATCCATTCACCCTATCAGTAATGCGGATCGTCAAGCAGCTGTTAATAAACACAAAACTCGGCACAGCACAAGGTACTACCCAACAAGACGATCTCCCCCTCGTACCAGGTATATTAACAATAATGAAGATAGAGATAGGCGATCAAGAGATGATCAACCAAGATCCAGAGATGATCGAGATCGAATTAGAGATGATGCAAATATAGAGGATCCTCCAAGACGCGTTGAGATTTCACGACAAGATGATGATCCTGATGGCCCTTCACGCAGAAGTGGTTCCTCCTCTCCACACTACATTTTACGAATGCATGGAGTCCCATATAATGCTAGCATTCAAGACATACGTGAATTCTTCAATGGGTGTGAAATTGTCCCAGGTGGTATCCATATCATCATTGCAAAAGATGGAAAGGCAACTGGTGTTGGATTTGTTGACTTCGCAACAGAAGAGGATGAAAAGCGAGCGTTACTCTTGCACGGCAATTTGTTCCTCAACACAAGGCGCTATATTGAGCTATCTGGCACAACGAAAGACCAAATGTTGCAAGAACTACGAGGAGCCGACAGAAATCCCAAAATGTCCAAAACTCGAGGAGGTGGGTTTAATTCACCCACTTTCAACAAACCGTCATCAATTGACAATATAAAAGCTGCAGGACTAGAAGGCATTAGTAAACCAGGCTGCATAATTGGGATTCAGAATTTACCATACACTGCAACCATACCAGACATTCTAGCATTATTTTCAAAGTTTAACCCTATTAAGGACTCTGTTAGAATGCATTACACAGATACAGGGAAGGCTACGGGAGATGCTCTGATTGCACTTTCATCAAAGAAGGACACAGATGATGCGCTGTATCAACTCAGGCACTCTAGCCTAGGAAAAAGGCTACTGAAGCTTTATCTTGCTTAAGGTATGGAATAATATGGAACTTTGAAGCACTAGGGTTGGGTGATTCATAAGTTCGAAGGTTATGATGGCTATGTTTTATGGCAAGAGTGGAAAGGGTTAAAATTCATGGAATAAAGAATAAGTGGTAATATGCTTTTGCTATTGCTATTCCATTATTGCAATTGAAAAGTGCCACAGTATTTCCTTGACCTTGTTATCTTTTGCTGATTCACCCTTGGTATACGCAGCTAACGAAAATTGACCGGTACGGGTCAAAAGCTGGACCGGTACGGGTTAACGGTTTTATTTGAATTTAAAACAGCTATAACTTGCTCAATATTGACTTCCTCGTGTCTAATTTGAAATATATGATGCCTCCCGATGCTTTTAAGTACCCCAATTTTTTACAGATTTTTTAACGGACCAAAACTCTCTAAATGCGCATTTATGCTCTTTTCTCTCGAGAACGACTGTCTCATTTTCACGATAACTTTTATTTAGTACTTCTAACATATAAGATCTATTTTTCCCCATCAAGGTATGATGTAAATGACATGCTATTTACATCTTGTGAGTTTCAATGACGCGCGTTTGATGTTATAAAAAATGCCAAACTTTGTGACAAAGAATTTCATCCTGCTGAAATTCTTTGTCAAAAAGTTTTTTATAAAATCAAACGCGCGTCATTGAAACTCACAAGATGTAAATAGCATGTCATTTACATCATACCTTGATGGGGAAAAATAGATCTTATATGTTAGAAGTACTAAATAAAAGTTATCGTGAAAATGAGACAGTCGTTCTCGAGAGAAAAGAGCATAAATGCGCATTTAGAGAGTTTTGGTCCGTTTAAAAATCTGTAAAAAATTGGGGTACTTAAAAGCATCGGGAGGCATCATATATTTCAAATTAGACACGAGGAAGTCAATATTGAGCAAGTTATGGCTATTTTAAATTCAAATAAAACCGTTAACCCGTACCGGTCCAGCTTTTGACCTGTACCGGTCAATTTTCGTTAGCTGCGTATACCAAGGGTGTGATTTAGATATTCTTTTCCATTCAATTTTACAAAATATAGTCATCAGAAAATATTATTATAAGAGGCATGAAAATCATGAAAACTTTTAGAAATTGGAATCTTTAGGCATTGGAATCTTAACTGCATGGAATTAACATAATATGAGTGGTCTGATATGAAATCAAATGAATGTGGTCTTGTTAAAATGCAATTTTGGAACTATTACAACAAGACAATGGGACTAATAGTGAAAATCTAAAAATAAGACCATCAGGGTTAATGATGAGGAAATCTAAAAATAAGACCACTGAGGTTCTTGATAGGTAATTTCACTTATAATGTTCTATATATTCATTTCTTCTAGACATCATATACAGATTGTGATCAATTGATGTTAATTTGAACCAGAAACTTGTAGTTCAGAACCATTCACTGTGCTGTTAAATTTGAAAGTATAGAAATCATGAAAACATAAAAAAAGTAGCCATTAAATCAGTCCTTTTTTCTAAAACATATCATCAAATGTCCTGAACTTGCCCCCCCTTAAGCTTTCTTTTCTTCATAAAAGTTGGTGAAATGGAAAGTAGCTGGCAAAAGGGGGTATATCAGTTAAAATATAATACATGAAAACTCAAGCAGATAAATAACCAAAAAGCAAAGAATTGAGTTTTTGCTCATATGTAGTTTATTCAAATGCATATTTGTATAGAAAATGAAAATGTATGCCTATTTATAGATAACTGTGTTATCAGTAATATGATATCTGCATTATACCATTACACCTGAGAGAGTAGTGTCATTATATGTTTTCAGATGCAACCTATTTTACATTTTTGAGTGAATTTGGAATTTCAGGTCTGGTGGTTGGTCCCCTACGATACAGTACAATAATTGCTGGAATCTACAAATAAGTACATGTAGTCATACAATATAGTACATGTACAATAGACACAGGAATCTACTAGAAGACTGTAGTAGTCTTCAAATGTTGATGATGTAATAAGAAGACTTAAAAGAAATGTTTAATCAAGAGACAAAAACAGCTGAATGGTCTGATGGTGGTCTTTACAGAATGAGTAATACCAATAGTGTGTTCATCTTGAGTTCTTCACAATATGAACATGTTGAGTAAGACCTCCAATAGTGTGTTCATCTCGAGTTTTTCACAATATGAACATGTTTAGTAAGACCTCCGATAGTGTGTTCATCTCGAGTTTTTCACAATATGAACATGTTGAGTAAGAACTCCGATAGTGTGTTCATCTTGAGTTCTTCACAATATGAACATGTTGAGTAAGACGTCCGATAGTGTGTTCATCTTGAGTTCTTCACAATATGAACATGTTGAGTAAGACCTACAATAAAGTGAGCAATGGATGAAATGGCAATGGACATTTAACATGTTGAGTACCCGAATGATGGAAATCCACAAAAGTATTAATTAAACGATGATCATGTTTTGGATTAAGTTTGTACTAATTGAGTAAATATTCATGTGTATAGTATTTCTTTTGACTGAGAAAACTCAGAAACATTTTCAGTTGAATCAAGTGGTGAATTATGATTCGAAATGTGACGACTTGAACTTTATGTTGTTGTAGAATTTTGGAATCTTGAAACTACATTATCAGATTATATAATGTTTCAATACAAATTGAGGAATTTAGATACGACATTATACGATCCTACAATAGGATTTTGAAAACAAGGTAAAGCTTGATTCTTAAATTTTTAATAAACACGCTTAAGAAAAATATGGTGCCATAAAGTAATGGTCTATTATGCTGGAATAAGAATTTAGAAAAAAAATTGAAAATTTGTCAAATTTTCAGGTTACTCGAGGAGAAACAACAAAAAAGGCTCAAAATAATATGAACTAGAAATTTATGTGAAAATACATTACAATATGCAAATTTCAGAAAAGGAAATATGAAAATCCTTATTAGAAAACATTAAGTATTTGTCTAGTGTAACAGAAATATGAATAATTATGGACATTCACACTAGAAAATTGAATTTTAGTGGTCACATTTGACGAGTTGAATACTACAAAGACACATACTGGAAAGAATAGAATAAGTGTATCATGATGAGGAACCTACTCGTCTCAACAACATTCACACTGGAGAAAAAACTTTATCACATGGAACATAAAGTTGAAGTATTTATTACTGGGAAAAAAATATTCTGAAAACAGTAAATAGAAAACAGGTCAAACTTGAATTTTTAAGTGAAAATTGAAAGTGGAACAAGCATAATTTAAAGATATTGTCTCCATAAAAATAGTATGACATTAGCGCAAGGATTCAAATAATGTATGAATGATTGGATGGTATATTTTTGTAAAAATAAGGAAAATCCTTAGCTTGTGTATATTGCTTTTTATTACTTGAATTGTGATGAAATGTTGAGAAATCATACATATCTTATGCTTATTTAGTGTATGTGTTTGTATATACATGTAGCTTGGTGTATATGAAACAAAACAATTAACAAGAAAAGTAAGCACGTTACAGATACAGACAGGATAGTGATTTGAGTTCATTCTCTCAATTGGAATGATAGAGATGATTCACACTGGAGAAATCTAAGAAAAAGGTGAACAATTTTGATAATGATATTGCAAAATAACATTGAGAAAAGAATTATACCTTAGTGATATTGAACATTTCAGATTATTCAACTGGAACAAAAAGAACTGACTTAAGTCTATACTGATTCTTAGCTCAACAAAATATACATACATGTAGTACATACTGGAGAAATTGAGCCAAGATTGGAGCACTATGCTCAATGTACTAAAATGATTTGACTATAAATTTGACTACATAAATCAAGAAGCTTAATACCCTTTCTAGGATTGTGACTTAACCCAAGACCTACTAATAACAACTAAAAAACTGGGAAACCTTTTTTAATCATTGACGGAGGCAGTAGTTGTCTGATCACTCATGTACGCTTTAAGATAAGTGTCCAATGATGCCTACAAGTATAAAGTATATTTGTTATAACAAGAAAGTTAATGGATCTTTGTAAATCAATAACTCTATCGCAAATGATCCATACTGGAGAGATTTAAGATACATGTCAAATGATGCCTACAGCATGTTCAAGGATACAGTTTATTTGTTATGACAAGAAAGTTGATGGATCTTTGTAAAAATTGAGAAACATAGGCTATATGAAATCAATAACTCTTTCTCAAATGATCCATACTGGAGAGATTTAAGATATGTGTCAAATGATGCCTACACCATGTACAAGTATACAGATGGATCTTTGTAAGAATTGGGAACCATAGGCTATATGAAATCAATAACTCTATCTCAAATGATCCATACTGGAGAGATTTAAGATATCTGTCAAATGATGCCTACACCATGTACAAGTATACAGTATATTTGATATGACAAGAAAGTTGATGGATCTTTGTAAAAATTGGGAAACATAGGCTATATCTGTATATGAAATCAATAACTCTCAAATGATCCACTCTGGAGAGATTAAAGATGAATGTCAAATGATGCATACACTATGTACAAGTATACAGTATATATGTTACAACAAGAAAGTTGATGGATCTTTATAATAATAAAAAGAGGTAAACCTAGGCTAAATGAAATCGATAACTCTGTCTCAAATGATCCACACTGGAGAGATATATTCTGGAATGCAGTTTGAGGTATAATTGGTTGGCCTATAGTAACATCCAAAACAGACTTGCCAAACTGAAGCAAAGTGGAACCCAAAAGATTCTTAAGGGAAATATTTTAATGTCATGTAAAGACAACAATTTAGTCAAAGATTAGCCAAACATTGTAAATGAGTAATTGAATGTGAAGTTGGTATAGGTTACGTTGTAATACTGTACTTCTGCTAATGTCCTTGCTATTTACATTGTTTTTGAAATTTTTAAATATCGGTAAGGATTTAATTTGGTGTTATTTTTTGATGGCAAAAACTTTCATTTTTAGCACACGGTCAAGAACATTATCCAAGCTAATTAATGCAGTTTATGATTATTGATTTACTTCTTGCCTGATTTGTAAAAACTACCTGGGAATAGAATAATCTGAAATTGTGATCAACTTAATTCTGAATCTAAGTAGAGGTACAGAGCTTAGCACATCAATATCATATTTGTTTTATAACAACTAGTTTATTATAAACTGGCATTTTGGTTTCATTAAAAATGAATCCAAATTAGTGAAAGGTAAATGTAATTTTATCATAATAGTTCATGTATGTATCTTCTGTTCAGCAGGGCAGCTCCTGTAAATGTGTAAGGAGACATGCACTGACCTCTTCTTGAATTGTTAATGCTGACTAAATTGATGTATTTTTTTAAACCCAATGCTTTAGTATAGAAATTTAGTAGTAAGTAGAGTACGTAGACCCTAGTATTAATGGGTTATTCTGTAGTGCAAATTATTTTTGAAGTAATAATAAATAATGTCATGTAGTTAAAGCAACATTCTTTCTTCTAGTATTAAGACTGCATAGACATGTCTGCCAATCGTTCATGTCAACACAGTCAGTCACTTGGATCAATAAAGTCAATTTTTATGTCATGTCATGTATGCAGTTATTATGTCATGTCAACAAAGTCAATCACTCAACTGTCAATCACTGTGTCAGGTCAACATGGTCAGTCACTCACTCTGGCCAATATAGTCAAACATTATGTCGGGTCAACACATTGTATCATATCATATGGGCAACCATAGTATCATATACTATCATATGGGCAACCATTGTATCATATCATATGGGCAACCATTGTATCATATCATATGGCCAACCATAGTATCATACCATATGGGCAACCATTGTATCATGTCATATGGGCAACTGTTGTATCATGTCATATGGGCAACCATTGTATCATATCATATGGGCAACCATTGTATCATGTCATATGGGAAACCATTGTATCCTGTCATAGGGGCAACCATTATGTCACATGGGCAACCATTGCATCATGTCACATGGGCAACCGTTGCATCATGTCATTTGGGCAACCGTTGTATCATGTCATTTGGGCAACCATTGTATCATGTCATATGGGCAACTGTTGTATCATGTCATATGGGCAACCGTTGTATCATGTCATATGGGCAACGGTTGTATCATGTCATATGGGCAACCATTGTATCATGTCACATGGGGAACCATTGTATCATGTCATATGGGCAACCATTGTATCATATCATATGGGCAACCATTGTATCATGTCATATGGGAAACCATTGTATCCTGTCATAGGGGCAACCATTATGTCACATGGGCAACCATTGCATCATGTCACATGGGCAACCGTTGCATCATGTCATTTGGGCAACCGTTGTATCATGTCATTTGGGCAACCGTTGTATCATGTCATATGGGCAACTGTTGTATCATGTCATATGGGCAACCGTTGTATCATGTCATATGGGCAACGGTTGTATCATGTCATATGGGCAACCATTGTATCATGTCACATGGGGAACCATTGTATCATGTCACATGGGGAACCATTGTATCATGTCATATGGACAACCATTGTATCATGTCATATGGACAACCATTGTATCATATCATATGGACAACCATTGTATCATGTCACATGGGGAACCATTGTATCATGTCATATGGGCAATCATTGTATCATGTCAATGCATTTAATCACTGAGCCATTGGCTGACGACAACAAATTGCAGCTGTATGTCTAGCTTCACCCAGGAGGGAGTTGGTAATTTTCCCATTTGAAATGGTAAGTTGCATTTTTAATTTTATCCGTAACATTAACATTTTTATTACAGATACATTAAATTTTCAAACTTTGACATTGTCACACATTACAATCAGCCTGCATCCTAAAAGGACCAAGCAATATGCTAGCCTACATAAACAGGATTTTGACAATATCCCTTTTATATTAGAAGGTGCCACCATTGAACTAATATTGCATTTGAAGTTGCTACACTTGAATCAACTTCGAATTGGAATGGTGTATGCTACCTTTGGAATAGCTCAAATAGGAAGATGCTGTTGCTGTAGGTTACTTGAATCAAATTCAAGTGAAAGTTGCAAAAGTTCAATCAACTATGGAGATGTTATATGCTAAACCAACTTCATTGGAAGTGCTACACTGCAAATTCAAATAATATCTGGTATAACTGAGCCCTAACGTATTACATTGAACCAACTTAAACTACATTGGAAGAGGTTACACTTGGACTTACTTCAAATACACTGGAAGATGTTACACTTGAACCTACTTCAAATACACTGGAAGATGTTACATTTGAACCTACTTCAAATACACTGGAAGATGTTACACTTGAACCTACTTCAAATACACTGGAAGATGTTACACTTGAACCTACTTCAAATACACTGGAAGATGTTACACTTGAACCTACTTCAAATACAGTGGAAGATGTTACACTTGAACCAACTTCAAATACACTTGAAGATGTTTCACTTGAACCTACTTCAAATACACTGGAAGATGTTACACTTGAACCTACTTCAAATACACTGGAAGATGTTATACTTGAACCAACTTCAAATTCACTGGAAGATGTTACACTTGAACCTACTTCAAATACTCTGGAAGATGTTACACTTGAACCTACTTCAAATACACTGGAAGGTGTTACATTTGAACCTACTTCAAATACTCTGGAAGATGTTACACTTGAACCTACTTCAAATACACTGGAAGATGTTACACTTGAACTAACTTCAAATACACTGGAAGATGTTACACTTGAACCTACTTCAAATACACTGGAAGATGTTACACTTGAACCTACTTCAAATACACTGGAAAATGTTACACTTGAACCTACTTCAAATACACTGGAAGATGTTACACTTGAACCTACTTCAAATACACTGGAAGATGTTACACTTGAACCTACTTCAAATACACTGGAAGATGTTACATTTGAACCTACTTCAAATACACTGGAAGATGTTAGATTTGAACCTACTTCAAATACACTGGAAGATGTTACACTAGAACCTACTTCAAATAGACTGGAAGATGTTACACTTGAACCTACTTCAAATACACTGGAAGATGTTACACTTGAACCTACTTCAAATACACTGGAAGATGTTACACTTGAACCAACTTCAAATATACTGGAAGATGTTACACTTGAACCTACTTCAAATACACTGGAAGATGTTACACTTGAACCTACTTCAAATACACTGGAAGATGTTACACTTGAACCTTCTTCAAATACAGTGGAAGATGTTACACTTGAACCAACTTCAAATACACTGGAAGATGTTACACTTGAACCTACTTCAAATACACTGGAATGTGTTACACTTGAACCAAATCAATAAATACACTGGAAAAAGTGCTTCAAATACACTGGAAGATGTTACACTTGAATCTTCTTCAAAAACACTGGAAGATGTTACACTTGAACCTACTTCAAATATACTGGAAGATGTTACACTTGAACCTACTTCAAATACAAGCAGAACATGTGACAATTGAACCACAAATACAGATGTTACAAAATATTGAACCAGCTTCAAATACAGTGGAAGATGTTACAATAGAACCAACTTCAAATACAATGGAAAATGTTATGCTTAAACCATTTCTCCAAATACATTGAGGAAAATGCTACACTTGAAGAACCATCATCAATTACTTGAACAATGTCTGTCATATTTTCTTGATAATGTTTGGAGTCACTGCATTTCAAATCAATTGAAAAAGTGGGAGATCATTAATGAACCAGATCATATTCACATTGCAAAAGATCATGGCTTCAAATCAAAATCAGGGGAAGATGCAATTTAGAAGATATTTTTTGATGATTTTAAACTTCATTCAATGCATCTCCCTATTTGATCTTTGAGCAACATAATGGGTCGATTTCAATTTGAAACACCTAAAATCATTCAGGAATTTCTTTATTAATGATCTTTAGTTTAGTAGATTGAAGTTTTAAAAATTGAATATATTGGAAGATGTTTACTTAGCTTTGTTGAGCCATATTTGGAAAGGATGCATTTGAATTATCTTTGTTTAATTATCATTAATTATCTTACTGTACATTGATAAGCTTAGCCAAAACAAAACCTAATGATGTTTTACAATATTATTGCAGATGATGCTGCTATGGGGACCTGGTGCATGATGTTGTAATGATCCATACTGATGATACTGCCAGGAACACATGGAGATCCATACTGGTGATCTGATGCATTTGAAAGCATACACACTGGAAAAAAATCATGTAGGCCTGTTTTACTCATATCTGCTCCTAGAAATATTAGTTTAATCAGTGCTCTCTGCAGCATTAAAGCAAATTAGCAATGTACTGACTTGAGATTTTAATAAAGGCACTTACTTGCATTATTTTACACCGACTTGAAAATGAGAAAAATGTTAAGATATCAATAAATTGACTGTATTTGCTCGTCATTATGAAAATATGAATCTTGCAGACATACCATGGAAGAATATCCAAAACGTTTGACTTACAATTTTATTTATACTATACTTTGCTCATTTTGTGACACTCAATTTTTTGTTTTTTCACAGTACATCAAAATATGTGATAAAAATTTGCATGAGATACTATCGATCTGTTTCAGATCCAAAACTGGTTCAACACACCCTGACAATTACAAGTAGTGGGAGACTATGACAGAAGTATTCAACAATAAAGAGTGATAGCATCAACTACTGCCTCTAGAACACTAGCAATATGAAATGAAAGCTTACAGACCATTATCCCATGAATACCCCCATAATACTTCTTGGGCTAGAAGCCTAAAGTACATGGAGTACAAGCCATTTGACACTCAAATGTGAATACCTCTATAATACTCCAGGGCTGGAATGCAGGCCCATGAACACGGAAGTGTAAATGCCCCTGTATTACTCCTGAGCTGGAATGCAAGCCATTGGACATTGAAATGTGAATACCCCTATAATACTATCCAGGGCTAGGATATGAGCCATTGAACTCTGAAACCTAAAACTGCACGAACAATACATCATTGAATAAATGCCTTTAAATACAGCTCATCAAGTATTATGAATGAATGCATCTAAAATTCTGCAACACCAACATGGATTCCAACTCAGATATGGTGTCTGTATACATCAACATTGACAATGAAATCACTAGTGGTGCTCATACAGTATATAATGACTCTGAGGAAACTGACTTGAACTATGTACATACAACTAATTTCAATGTTGACCTAAGTGGAGATAACATCGAGGCCATATGCAATAACATTGAACCATCATTTAGTGACATTGGACCAACAGGAACTGATGTTGTATCATCTTACAATAATGCCAAAGTTAAAGGTGATATTGAACAGACCAAGGTTATAGTTGGCTCAACTCTCAGTAACACTGGTCCAGCTAGGAATACTACTGAACCAACATTTAATATTGTTGAACAATTGCAAAACACTGCTGATACTATCCACAAGGACCATCATGTTAGGAATTGGCCAACTACCGAGGATACAGACAAAATACCAAGTGTTCCTAATGGTAATTCTCGTGGTGAACGTCTTGAGATTGCGATGGAAACTGATCACTCATATTTAGAACACAATTCTCTGAACAGAAGGCTAGATGATAAAACAAAGCCAGATGATAACAAAATGACAGATGATAACCTTCCCCCAGATGATAACAGCAACCCTGGCTCGATAACCATAATTGTTGATCCTAGTTTCAACATCCAACAACAAGATGCTGATATCGACTCAACCAATCTTTCAATACACAAAGAGAATATTCTTAACGATACTCAAAACCCTGTAAATACCATTAGTACATCTTTTGAAAATCACCCACATATAAAATTTGAGCCTATAATATCAGAATCATCAAGTTTTGACCAGCAGACATCCACATTAAACGTGGATAATGAAACTCGGGATAAAAAACTAGGTCTTGGTACGTACCATACTAAAAAACACTTCTCTGACAACAGTGACTTATTGATCACCCCTCGAACATATGATAACAATAGGACTAATAACAGTCCAACCTTTGGTAATGATCAGGCCAATAATGACCATCATGTATTTAATAAATCTGTTGATCAGGATGGATTCAATAACAGACGAATCAAACTCGAATGTGGACATGGAAATACTACAGTTTATGCCATAAAACTCGAAAAGGATGAAATACCTCTTGGCACACCAATCTCCTTAACTAATCAACATCAGGATAAAAGGGGCACACCCACCTCATCAACCAATGAACATCATGATAAAAGGGGCACACCCACCTCATCAACCAATGAACATCATGATAAAAGGGGCACACCCACCTCATCAACCAATGAACATAATATTGATAAGGCCATCAAAAAAGAAAATGATCTTAATCACAAGTCTTTTGAAAATGGTGATTGTACTTATGCTAATGATGTGAACCATGCAGAAGCTGTAACATGGGCTTTATATGATGAGTCAGACAAAATGGACACTCATCCAACATCTTCTGATGATTTACATTGTGCTGTTTGCGACAAAGAGTTTAGAACTTTATACTCTCTGAAGATACATCATTGTGCAAAGGATACAACATCGCAAAAACCATTTCCTTGCAATCAGTGTGAGAAATCTTTCTTTTATTCTAGTCACTTAAAAGTTCATTTACTTAAGCATGCAAACAGGAAAATGTTCAAATGTAAAATTTGTGATAAATCCTTTCTTAGTTTGAATAAGTTGAAAATTCATAAAAACATACACACTAGTGAGAAATCAGTTGCTGAAGAATTATCTAGTAATAATGATGAATCATATAAATGTAAATACTGTGGGAAGGAATTTGTGACTTTGAAAGGTATAAAAATCCATGAATCACATATGCACAGTGAACAGCCAATGGACAATGACTTGAACGAAGAAGAGAAAAAATTCAAATGTAAAAATTGTGAAAAAATATTCAACCATTCAAAAGAATTGAAACAACATAAACGGATCCACACTACTAAAGTAAATGAGTTAAATGAGGTGCCTTCTGTGGAAGCAGCTGAAATGATTAAATGTCAATACTGTGAAAAAGAGTCCACAACCATAAAAGGTATGAAAATACATGTGACACATATGCACAGTGAGGAACCAAATGAGACTAGCAATGACTTGAATGAAGATGAAAAAATAAAAATATTCAAATGTAAAATTTGTGACAAATTATTTCACCAATCAAAAGAATTAAAACGCCATAAACGAATCCATACCACTGAGAATATAACAAGCGGACAGTCATCAAAATTGAAAGAAAAACCATTTGAATGTGGATATTGCAAAAAATCTTTCCATACATTGAAAGGTATAAAAATACACGAAGGACATGCCCATGATCTAGATAAAAACAAAGCTGACAAAGTTATAAACAATGATGATTGTGATGAACACAACAATGATGATATTGACAAAAAACCTTACCCATGCGACCAATGTGATCAAACATTCAAAACTCAACGACTTTTAAGATCACATGAAAAGCAACATGCAACATTGGAGAACAATTTTAAATGTAAATGTTGCGATAAAGTCTTTAAAGATTGGAATTATGTTAAAAGACATGAAGAAGTCCACATGGGTGTGAAATCAAAGTTCCAATGTAGGTTTTGTGCGAAGACATTTAGAGCTTTGAGTTATACAGAAGAGCATGAACGGCTACACATGGAAGAAAACCCATTCAGCTGTAAAATTTGTAATAAATCATTCAGCTGTTCCGCCTATTTAAAAGAACATGAAGGAGTTCATAATGGTGACTTGACATACAAATGTAAATATTGCGACAAATCGTATAGTGCTCTAAGAACGGTTAAAGCTCATGAACAAACACACTTTCAGTCAGATAGAAAATCATTTAAATGTCAATACTGCAGTAAGATATTCAGCACAAAGAAGTATATGCAAACTCATGAAGATCAAATCCATGTTAACCCAGATGTTAAGTCACATCAATGTCAGTATTGTGAGAAGACATTTCGCTCTTCTGCATATTTGAAAATTCATGAACGTTTACATAATGAACCTAGCCTAAGAGAAGATGATAAGCACAAGTGTCAACATTGTGAAAAAATATTCAGCTCGTTGAATTATTTAAGGGAACATGAGCGTTTGCATACAGAAGATAAACCATTTTCTTGTCAGTTTTGTCACAAATCATTCAGTTGTTCCACATACCTTAAAGAACATGAGCGAGCACATTCTGCCATGTCATTCAAATGTAAACACTGCGCAAAAACATTCAGTACATCATCTTATCTAAAAATCCACGAGAGAGCGCACACTGTTCCAAGTGATAAATTCAAATGCCAGTTCTGTTACAAAGTCTTTAGTTCATTACAATATGTTAAAGAACACGAACGTCTCCATGTAGAAGGAACTCCATTCAAGTGTAGAATTTGTGAAAAGTCTTTTACTAGTGCAAGATATGTTAAGGAACATGAACGATCACATGCTGATAAAAATCCATTCAATTGTCTGTTCTGCAATAAAACTTTCAGCTGCGCAAGATATGCCAAACAGCATGAAGTTACTCATACTAACCCAGATGCCTTAAAGTGTAGACACTGTGAGAAAACATTTAGTTTGGAAAGTTATGTGAAAAGGCATGAACTAACTCATGCTGTTCCCGAATCAAGTGTTCCTGAACCAAGTGTTCTTGAATCTTATTCTTCAGAATCAGTAACACCTTCTTATATTGAACAAATCTTATAACTGCCCCAGTTTATGGTTACTAGGCACAAGAATAGATTTGAGTTAAAATTGTCAGTTGTCAATGAAGTTTATTTATGTAAGGTTATATAGAATATATGTCAGTAAAGGGTATAAGTACATGTTATCAATATTAGCCCATGAATTTTCAATAAACGTTGATGATAAATACTTACATTGGCCCATGAACTGTCAGTTTGTAAGCATTTATGTAGAGGTTCGGTAGCCAAGTTTGTCCATCAATAGTCAGTCTGTAAGCTTTTATGTAAGAGTTCGATAAGCCAAGTTTGCCCATGGATTGTCAAGTTGTAAGGTTTTATGTAAAAGTTAGTTTGGCAATTTTGCCCATAAATTGTCAGTTTGTAAGCTTTAATGCAAAACTTATATTTACCCATGAATTGCCAGTATGTAAATGTTTATGTTTAAGTTTGATAGCCATCTCAGTGTGACAATGTTGTCTTATATATGTAAAAATTAAAGTTAATTTGATTTATTTAATTTACATTATCTAATCATGAATCAATATTTACAGATTAATACTGACATAAGGCTACCAGATCGTGGGTCAATTATTTACAGATTAATACATGTAAACATATTTTATTTTTATGAACAACATTCTGCCCTATCAGAATAATATTGTTCCATCTCCCACTTCTGAAAAACTCATTGTTTGAAAGTTGAATTGTTTTTAATTGATTGCCATTTTATTATAAGGCCTATTAATAATTGTTTTTTAATTTTTCTATATATTTAGCCCATCATATAAGTCATAAAATAGAAATACAAGAATTCTGTAAATATTCAATGGGAAGCTTTTTATACTCTTCATTGCATATATAATGTTCAAATATGTATTTTAAATGTTGACTTCTTCACGTGTCAAGTGATATTAATACTAATATTAATCTTTGCTAACTAATATTATATGTAAATAGTTAATATTAGGATTTATAGTACTTTTAAAATTTTCATATGGAGGTATTATATGATGAAGAAAAATGGATATGCTAAAAATCTTCGAAATTTATTGTTTCAATTGGCATTTGAATACATTTATCAGTAAGAGCTAGTATGTGTTAGGAAGACTCCAAGGAATCATTTCCAGTACTAGGCCCAAATGAAATATCCACCCCCGGTGGAATACATGAATACTGAATTTATAAAATCATAACCTGAATAACGATAATGTTATACACAGATACTGTACCCTATGGATATTTTAGTTGTCCTAATAAATTATTTATAAATATAAGTATCGATTTTGTTTACTTGTTTCTTTTGATGGAACCACAATATATTAACAATGGGCATGTGCAGAATATCAGATCCTTTTGCGAGGCATCATTTTTATCGATGATTTGGTATCTACGTTATTGAATTTATCTCCTGATAAATTAAAGATCAATTACTAATCAGAACTAATTCCACAATTCTACATGTTCTTAACGTAGCAGTACCTGCTTAATGATCAGTTTGAACTAGGAAATGATGAAATGAACACCCGAATGGATGTGTGATCAATTGTGTCCACTGTACTTGAAGGCATGGCAACCAATTCTGGGACAAGTCGCACAATAAATACTGAATAAACCTTCCCAATAAACTATGCCACCTTTTGGTAGATCAAAAACGCAATGTTGTATTAGCTAGATTGATGATGTCATTGGTTGTACATTTTCAAAACTAACAATAGGTTAATCCTACTTCTATATATCTAGCGAATGTATCATAATTCTTTGATGTACCAAAATATTACAGGATTTATATATGAAAGGTTTATATATGAAATGTATACGTCATGCAAACTAAAAGTACTTTGACTTATAATACTTGAATATCGTGGTCGAAGTAGTAAATACAACAAATTGTAAATCGGAGTGTCTTCTATTTTAGTCCCCATCGAAATGAATCATCTAAATTATGTAATTAGAATTAGAAATCGCAAGGAACAGTTTTAACTGAATCTTTCTCAACATATGATGAAAAAATATTGTCTAATTGAAAATATTTTAAAGTTACAGATTTCCTGACAATGGTGCTAACTGTATTATGTCAACGCTAACTAATGGTGACATGCTGTCATTGACGGGTCAATTAAGTTGCGACAATCATATGAAAAAGAACAAGAATTACTTCATTTTGCGCCCGCCCAAATGCCCATCAGCACAAGACGACGACAATTGAGAACGTTTTCAAAGTGCGATAAAAAAAACATCATATTCTTTGTTCCGCCTCTTCTGGGTGTAAGTTTCTGAACCTCAGAGATGAAGGTTGGCAAATGACTTCATATACCTAGAAACATCGTGCAGGAGCGTTAATGTATGTTCATATAAACTGTTAGGGTCGTCTCAATTGCCCACCAGCAATAAACACAATTGTAGTAGCTACCCGTGTTAAACATCTTTCTCTTACAATCCTTTCAATTCAACTTTAAATAAGTTATCTGTTGCCTTTCATAACACATTAAAATACTGTATTTGTACGTATCCATCAATTTGTATTCTTAATTAGAACCTTTTTATAGGAGTTCCATTATCTAATGGCGGATTTTCTAACAATGGCGAATAATATCATTAACCTTTACAGAATTATGTGACATAGTAGTAAATTAAACTTGAATGTTTTTAAAAGCATGGTTATCGGTAGATATAGATCGTCTCGAATCAGAATTATTTTTGTAGGTTTGACACTTTTTGCGATGATTAATTATACCTATAGATATAATAAAGAATTGACTGCAAAATGGGATATATCAGATATGACATCAAAAATGGAATCATTAGATATGACACCTAAACTGAATATATCAGATACGACATCTAATCGGGATATATCACAGATTACCTCGAGATATCAACAGGAATCTAAAAGTAAAAGAAATTGTACAAAATATACCAAAGAGTTGCAAGAAAAACGGTAAGTGTGATAATTTGTAGATCAAGCCACAAATGCCGGTTGAAAGAACTAACTTTTTCAATAATTATATAATAATTTCAATAATACAATTTCCCTTGTATGCAGGGGCATATTTTGAAACATATACTATTTTTGGACATAATATAGTCTACATGTATTTCATATCATTTTTTGTCCCCCGATGCTATCATTAGGATATCTACAGATCTAAAGGTGATTTGTCGAAATACTGCGTGTCTAACCCTATCATGTTATTTTCAGATGGACAGCGCACTCAATCACTGTTCAATTTGGTCGAGATTGTGAAGATTTTGTTGAACAATCCAAGATAGAGCATCCAGTCCAGTGGTTCGCCAGAGACTGTGACTACGAGCTGGAAGACAAGGATGTTACAATACTTCTCCATTCTGGTATTTCAAAGTAATGTCAAAACTGCATAATCTTTCACTTTTCATTCTCCATTGTAACTCATCTGTCAATTATGCTGTATCGCTTCTGATGTTTAGGGTATACACCATTTATTAGTAAGCAAATCTCTGAAAATACATACTGGCGAAAGTACGCACTGGTGATAATGTATTTTGATGAGGGTACGTACTGGCGAGATCATACAAGCATGACATTATACCAGCGAGACTGGTACACAAATCATTGTAAATACCATTTTGTGGCACCTAATTGGGGGTCATAGCCACTCGACTGTAAATATGTTAGTATTACATATAAGGGTACGGACATATTTGTGAAATGCCCACTCGTCAAAATCCACTATTTGCTAGTACGAAGGGGTGCGACTTTATACACTGATACATACTGGGCATTTACTGATGGTGGTTCATTATAATGTTTGATGTATTTGTTTTTTATTGGCGAAGGAACAATCTCAGATACATACTGGTGAGGATACATACTGTTGAGGATACATACTGGTGACAGTTCTTTCAAGAAAGAAAGCATACTACAGTTTGTCAGTTGGTGTAAAAACTAAAATACTACTCACCTAAGATTATGTGGATCTTATACACACAATACTTTGTGATTTATGCTCTAGGTTAAAGGTGCTCCTGAAAACCCTAAAACACTGGCGAGGGCCAGCAAGCGTAGCGTTATGGGGGAGCGAGGCAGACTGTCAGACAATGCTACGAGCCCTAGGCGATTCTCTGGGGGCGAGGTCAAATGTTGGAATACACTTGGTGCTCATGAAAGACAAAAATGTAAGGATTTTTGAATTTAGATATATTACACTAATACCAAGAGACTTTCAAATGATTATTACTGTAACTTGTATTATTGTATAAACATCAGTCTCTGAATTTAGGCTTTTCGAAATATAATATAATGCCTACAAAATGGGGTTTACACGATTTCCAGATACGTTTTCTTACATTTAAATTATTAATCCCATAACAAAGTTCTCCCGGGACAAAGAGATACATTTTCTCGTAATATATTTTGTATTTGGGAAGCGTATATTATATGACATTTCTTTAATGTTCAAATAAGTACTTTTAATATTGGTCTCCATGTTTTTCAATGGTGTTCACTTTTCTGTACATTCAATCGACACTTATGTTTGCCCTTGGCGTTTGCACAATGATTTATTTCCTACTAGTGGATGTATGAGCTAACTTAAAGGGCAATGTTTGTGTAAATTGTGAGTTGACACAATCCTTAAAGGCAATGTTCGTCTAAACTGTGAGATACCACAAACTTAAAGGGTAATGTGCCTGTTAAACTTACTATTTAGATATCATTTTTCTCTCCTCAATAATATAACGGCCCTTTACATTTTTCGATCTTCAATCAAGTTTTTGTCTCGTTCATATATATTTTCTGGCTTTTCTCAAAAATAGTCATTTTCAAGACAAAATAAACAAAGTAAAGTGCAAATAAAGATGCCCTCTGACGCATGTTCCATTTTGTACGTCTTACGTAATAGATAAGTGAGAATGTACTGTTTGGAAGGAGGTAAAGAATGCGTCTAACGCATGCCTCTGACCCTCAGTTCATCTTAGGTAAATGATCACGTGATTGCAGAAACAAAATGGACTATTCGACAAGGGAGAGAGTATGTGATAGAAAATCGATTGACATGTCATGTAATTTTCAGCTTTACTATCCTACAAACTACGTTAGGAATACAGCGTTCTTCGGAAGTTTCAGTAGCCATGTGTGGATGGTGGACGTGGATTTTGTCCCCATGCCCGGGTGTTATCCTCTCATCAAGCATGCAATCAGCAATACACAACATTTTCCAAGGACAGCGAAACTAGTACGCAAATAACTGTAATTCATATACGTACACTCCCTTCAATAAGTTTGAAAACTGGAAGTACCATTTTGAATCACTTACCAAAGCCTATTGGCGATTTTAAAAAAAATCATTGATTTCAGAACTATATAATTATCTTTATTTATATCTATTTGTTTTGATAGGCACTTGTAGTCCCAGCATTCGAATACGATGAAATACCAAAGTTGGTTCCGTTTCCGGCTAATAAGGCAGACGCAACTAAACTCTATAGAGAGCACTATATATACAGATTCAGGTACCCATAAACTTTAAACAAACAAACAAAAATAAACAAGATATTTATCATTTAAAGTATATTTAAATCAATTATATCTCTAGAAGGCGCACGAAATAGTACACAGCAAACATTTTTCAATGTTTTTTGATGAATCAACATTTAGAACTGTTTGCTGTATATGGGCATTACACGTTTTAGTTACCAAATAGAACTAGTACCCTAATTATATCTTTTGTCTCATTAGCGGAAAACGCTGTGGAAATTGTCACATTGCAACAGATTACGAGAAATGGATGGAAACCAGTACACCCTACGAGGTAAGAATAATAATGCACTTTAATACATATTTGTTTCTAACACTGGTAGAACTAAACCATTCTGGTTACGATGGAATAAAATGCAAAAGTCATCATTACCGGCAGGTACTAATATATTCTCATGGTGACATCCACCGAATGCAAGAATTTACTTGCCCAGAACACAAAATGGACCAAAAAGTTATTTAGTTATTTAGCACATGCTATAAATAATGCATCAATGTCTATATCTACATATTTTTGCACGTGTAGGTGGAATTTGGATGGCCTTACGAACCTTATGTAGTTATTGCTAGTGATAGAATGCCCTTATATGACGAGAGACTTCTGGCAAGACATCTAAACAAAGTCATGTTCAATATAGAAATATTTGCTAAACGGTAAGATATGGAACAATTCTAATGGTTCATCTGATTTCAAAATGGTTATGGTGCCTTAACTTTGCACTAACTACAGTAACACGCAACCCAAGATGGCGACTGGCCAATAATTACACATTGCCGGTAATTCCCTTGTCTATAGCTAAACTGTTAATATTTTCAATATTCATGGACGTTTAATGTGCGGCTAAGGCATACTTCATGAAAGATGTTTTATGGTCATTTGTAAACATTCGATAGGACTCGATAGTGTGAATGTGCATCAACTTACTACAGTGTCCCATCATCCTTGGTCCAAGGGTATTTCACTTCTTTCTGAATATAAGCATGAATGAAGTTCTTTGAAGAGAGATGACGTTGATGCTCCGAAATTATTTCATTTTTAGATACAAATTCTTCGTTCTTCCCGATGTCTTCCTTGTTCATGAGTTGCACCCCAGAGTTCACACCGACGATCATAATATGAGGTACAGGTGTCGTCATTATTGTATAATCGCCATGGTCATTCGAACATTAAGGAAAAGAGATGCCAACTGTCATAGCTTCTACAGTGGGCATTTATTATCTTCGGTTAAATTACTAAATGTTACCAACGTTAAACAAATCAAGTAACCTAAACCTAGTTTAGAAAAATATGACTAAAATGTGTTATATTGTTATTAAAGGTGCATGGATAGGATTGGTATGTTTATAAAGGACCATCTTCTAACGGAACATAAAACATGGATACGGAGGTTCTATGAAGATATCAAAGTTCCACATAAATATCTATTAAGTCAGCCAAACGATGGCACTGAATGAAACAATTGCGGCACTGAATGAAACAATTGTATATGTATGTCAGCCAAACGATGGCACTGAATGAAACAATTGTATATGCATCTCATGGAATCTGCTAGACACTCATACATTATGTGGAATTCCCCGATTTTGTCTCATTCGTATGTCTGGAGAAATCGAGCAAAGGAGATTGGGTGGAGATTACCCATCAGTGAGACAGACTTCTTCTAAATAACATTTTCTCAATTTTTACCATGCATTGTATATTATATATTACATTATAACTTCTCAGTCCATCATTCTTAGTAACCAATGTACTATTTCTTAGATAGCAATAAATAAAATGTATATATTATTGACAACTATGATAAGCGTGTACTTTTTATGTTAGTTAAGTCTCAGTGACATATGGAGAAGGAGTCATTAGGTTATGCCAGAAGCATCTTTCATGTACATTTAGCTAGTACGTCTACAGCACATAACATAAGTCATTATTGATGAATCCTTGATGCCTTTCATAAGACGCTTTCTGTTATACAAAATGGAGAAAACTGACCAAAACAAATAAATACATGATGTCCACTCGGCCACTTGTCATAGATATGCTATTTAACAGACAGTTGCTCCATGGTTATTCAACATTCAATGAGACAGTTCATCAAACAGTGTAGTGAATCTTTATGTTGAGGTAACTAAGGGTCTCTTAGAAACATGTTGAGTTGGCATAGACGTACAAACCTGTTTTTGATTATCCGTTTTTATAATTTCCAGTCATGAATGTTCTGTTTAAAAAGACAAAACGTATTGTATTGATTATCATTTTCACTGGAACATTGATTTTACTGATTGCAAGAAATCCTGTTTTACAAAATGATGGTGATAAGTTGAAATCTTCGATGGAGTATAGGCAAACGTCAGAACGTAGACGTTATAACTGGGATACAAATATTTCTGTTATGGCATCAAAAAGGTAGGGTACACTTCTGTGAACAATTGAATAATAATCGTCATATTATGTGAGAGAACCTTCATACTTTATTCATGAAATTGAGGACTAATGGACTGTATGAGTGCAAATTATTCAAATGCCTTGATTCTGTTTGATACATAGATTCATGATTCAATATGGTGTTGATTTTATAGGTGGGGCACAAAGTATTTGACTCCAGGATACGAGAAGCTCTGCATATCCTTTATTAACCAATCAAAACATTTGCATCCTATCAGCTGGTTTGCCCGGAGCTGTGACTATAACATCGATCCAGTAGACGTGACACTTTTAATTCAGTCCGGGATAACAAGGTCGGTTGAGACATCTTTTAATGTTAATGTGTCATTTGTTAAAACGTTCAATGTAAATAGAAATATGAACACTTGGATGTCAGAGTTATGAATAAAAGACGGACATTTTATTTGTTGATGTACCTAAGCTCTTGTAATACCACACAATACTAATTTGAAATTAAACTATTATGTAAATATGTAATATCTATCTATTCCTACTTATCACTTGATGGAGTGGAAGTTATGTTACTTTATAGAACACGTTTGATAAACATGTTAAGTTATTATGTTACTTCTGAGAATATGTTTGATTAACGGGTAGTTAAGATGTTATTTATAGAATACATTTGATAAACAGGTAGTTATTATGTTACTTCTGAGAATATGTTTGATTAACGGGTAGTTAAGATGTTATTTGTAGAATACATTTGATAAACAGGTAGTTATTATATTACTTTGTAGAATACGTGTTCTACTTAAAACACTGAGTCATTGGAGTGGGCCTGTCAGTATGTCACTGTGGGGATCTGAGGAAGAGTGTCAACTTATGCTGGACAAGATAAATGTTGCATTAAAAGACCGTTGGAATGTTGGAATACATCTGGTCATTAGACCATCAGGAGATAAAGACGTAATAGTATGTCAGATGAAAATCAATCCTATGTTTTAGACCGATATAAAGATGGCAGCAGTTGTAGAACTGAGAAGATATGTAAAATAAATTGATTGCACTGCCATCTTTTTGAAAAATATTTTCTATCACCCTTCGGTCTTTGAAATCACATCAATAAATAATTTAAGGAAACAATATGTTCTACAATTGCAGTATTTCCAGCCCAAAACTAGGTCCTAATAAAACCTCATTCAAAAAGTAAAAATTGAAAACATTGACTCAGCATTTTTAGGTATGCATCTCATCCTAACAAAAATAATTTCAACAAGTAGCTGATGAAACGTTAATATCTTTAACAATATTCTTCAAAATAGTTTACTGAGTGAAATAAAAGCTGGCGACTACTAGCCTAAATGGATTGTGAGTGTGATTCATTTAACGCATTTTTAGTATTTTACCTCGACCGATGGTCTCTGTAAAATACTGTCATACAAGAACTCTCATTAAATCAACCAACAATTCATTATATATCTGGCTTATGGATATTTATTGATACATGGTTGTATTTCAGTCATACTATCCAATCAACTACTTGCGGAACACTGCATTCTTTGGCAGTTTTACGAGTCACGTATTGACTATAGACGCCGATTTTGTACCCATGTCAGGATCATACTCCCGCATCAAGGCTAGGCTATATCCATACACAGAGCCTAATAAGGTAAGCTTTGATTCAAATCCAAAACCATTTGAAGTTTTCTTGAATTGTAAACTATCCACCATTTTACCTGACGATAACTGCAGTCGTCGGTATCATATGAAGCGCTTTTTCAAAACACTGATTCAATTTAATGCCTCGTATTTTAATTTACGATATAAATCTATATATAATCATAAATTAAGAGAGGAAATGTTTTGTAAAGTAAAAGGTATATATGATCTATTTGAGTCTTGTGATAATGAAAAGAAAACAATGTACTTATTGAATTCTAAATCACTCTGTAAATATGTTTCAAATTTTTTGCTTTTGTCTTTGGAGGCTAAAGATAGATTCAACTGACTTATCTGCTTATAATATGATTGTAATTGTGTCTCATAAGCCTTTGGAGGCTGGCCGTATAATTACGGGTGACACTGTAATAAATAAATAAATAAATAAATAAATATATATATATATATATATTTTACATAGAGTCAGGTTGCATTTGTGATACCTGCGTTCGAGTTTGACAAGTCATCTTTAGATCTACTCCCGGCGACTAAGGAAGAAGTAAAAAGGATGTATCGAAATGGAATACTCGTCCAATTTAGGTATTTTTGATGTGATTTAACATGGCGTTAAAATCTTATTGTGAACTCAGGTCGAAGCCTGACTAGACATACAATCTATCAGACAGATATATTGGATATGGTACTTACACTAATTTAATATATTTTTGTATACGCCAAAATGCAATTTGAATAACGATTCTAGCATTCCTCCCATGTCCCACCTTGTAACTTCCTGAAAGGTCATTTTAACTATTGGGAAGGCAAAATAGGCCTGCGATGTATTTTCTAACAAAATACTAATTTGTATGATAGAAAGACTCCATAGTGACATAATTTCTATCATATGAACCGCTTTTCAAAACACTGATTTAACTTAATACCTTGTATTTAAATTTACGATATTAATCTATATATTTTGCTTTATAGTTTGCAGTAAACAATATTAAAGGCAGAATCTGACCTACCAATCTATTCCTTACAATATCAAATTCAATATCTCCCAAAAGATTCACAATACATGTATGTTATTAATTGGTGAAGTTATTAATGATTCAAAGTGCAAAAATGGGTGAAAATGTTTAAATTCTCCCAAATAATAAGAATGGTAACCATTCATATAGAAAAATAATACATTACTGTAAACATCTTTTGTTTTCCTGGAATAAAGTGTGCACTTTTGTGATTTTTAGAAAATAGACATGACAAGGAATGACATAAGCCAAAAATATTCTAAAATTGAAACAATTTTTTGTTTAGCCTGCTCGCTATATCTGATTCTCTCTTTAATTTGGGCTCGGTTTCACTCCTTGGTCCATATTTTATTTTATTTTTATCTCTTTAAGTGATAGAAGATGCCCCCAGTGTCATAATCCAACAGATTATAAGAGATTGCTCCAAACACAAGAGATGTATTCGGTAAACAATATACAATATTCAACTAAACAGGAACTCTGTGATAAGTATAGTCAACAGTTTGAACGTGAGCATGCAAATTAATGCAGATGTTTCAAAAGTCTGAATCTTTTTGCTGCTTTTTTCATCATAATATTTTTGGACGAATTATCTGCCATACTGTTACCAGTAATATTAGTACTTGAAGTTAATGGGACGACTTATCACATTGCATTTACTCAGATTATTCAAGATCAGGTCTGGATGTATTCCCGATGATTTGTTCAATTGTAATCCTATTGTTTTTAGGTCAGTTGGAAATGGCCATATGAACCGTATGTAGTGTTACCAAGAGACACAATGCCTCTCTATGACGAGCGATTCCTAGCAAGACACCTTAATAAGATCATATACTCACTAGAATTATGTGGTAAAGGGTAAGTTAATGTACATGTTTTAAAGTGCGATAGAAATATTTTTAAATAATAAAGAGGGCATGGTAATCAATGTGTTTATTAATACTTCTGAGAGAATGTTATATAATTTTGTTAATGCTGCCATCTTTATATTGGTCAAAAACTTATGCTATATTTATAAATTAACTTATAATTTTGTGATATCTACGAGATATGGACATCTTCCGAAATAAAAGCAGGTCTCCAGAGATCATTCAAAGAGTAGGAAGAAACAAAGTGGATAATGTCTGGCCCTTTCGTAGGTATACAGTTAGTATGAGTAAAACCAACTATTTTCAGGTACGAGTTCGCAGTCCTGCCAGATGTGTTCATAATCCACGTCCTCCATGATAGAGTCGACACTGTCGCCCGGAATATCCGGTGTATGGATGACTTGGGTTTCATTACCACATTGAAGCTGCTAGAATTATACAAACACGTTATTGATCCAGAAATAATCCGTGAAATCAAAGACAGCAAGATAGTATATGCATAGCAATATAAAAAAGGATTCTGTAAATGGCGAATTAGAGATGCAAGGTTTGACGTCTTTAAGTCTATTGGGGAAAGGCACTAGATCAAAAGAAATATGGAGTAGCGGTATGAGTATTTATATGATGAGATAAGAGTGGGTAGATTTCAACCCCTCCACACACATAACAAATTCCATGCTAAAGCAACTCCCCTCGTAATGTAAAGGGTATGTTTTAATGTTTATAAAAACACCAGGGGCGAACCTGAAAATCGAGAGGGGAAGTAGTCCAAAAATTTTAAAAATAGTGCCCAAAAAGAAAACAATTTCATGATGCCACAAATTGTTTTCCCTCCTCTTCCATGAGATATTTAAGTAGACATACCACTACTGGTCGACATTATTTATGTTGATCGAGGTACATGAGATAATCAAAGTGTCTGAGTGTAATCTTTTGATACAAGCATCACACAATGGGTCTTGTAGCAAATATATTTTTTCAATGAAATGAGCAGTTTATTTCGGAAAGAGGAAATGGATAATACCAGTGAAGATACAGCTGGGCCACATACGTACAATTCCGGCAAAATAATAATATTGTAAACCATCGATAGGCATTCAATCATTTACATGTAGGATATACCAAATAAATAGATACCAGTAACATATGTTATTTAATTTTAACGAAATACAATGTGTAGCAACAGAGGGGCTAATTATTTCAGAAGATTGAAATGGATCGTATTTGAGCACATAGAGTTGAATGTATATAGAAAATGTTGTAAAACATTGACAAAAATTCTACACTCCCCTCCATAAGTTTGGCAACCTTTTTTCTCCATTGAACTACGTGTTAAAGCCTCTTTACGTTTGAATTTTTATTTACTTAACCGGCGATGAAATAACTTATGATATTGATGGAAACGTAACTTGACTTTATTTCCAATACCTCCAAATTTTCTCAATTTTTTTCCTCAATTACAATAGGTCGAAAATTGATGATAAATTTGATGAATTTTTGAAAATCGTCATTCTCATGTAATCCAATGGGAAATGGAGGGTTCAGGGCAAATCAGAAATCAGGATATCTTTTCAGTAAAAGATTCAGCAAAAAATATTTTCATATAGAAGATTGAATTGTCTAACTTTTTTGAACACTAAGTGTTTAGTTTATTTGATGAATATTAAAGTTACAGCGCTTCAAAGTCATTTTTGAAAATTGTTTTTCGCCTCCTGTGTTATTTCAATCGGAGGGTTTTTTTGAAAAACAATTTTGACTTTAAAGCCCTATAACTTTGTTGAACCTGAAGAAACATATCAATTTTTTGTTAAATAAAGTTAGCAAATTCAATTACCTGCCTAACTCGTATTTTTTGCAAGGACTCGGATGGATGCATATTCTGTCATATGACTTGCGGCAAACCTACCATTTCCCATTGGTAAACATGGGAATGTCGATTTTCAAAAATTTATCATCAATTTTCGACCTATTGTAATTGAGGAAAAAAATTGAGAAAATTTGGAGGTATTGGAATTAAAGTCAAATTACGTTTCCATCAATAGTATAAGTATTTTCATCGCAGGTTAAGTAAATAAAAATTCAAAGGTAAAGAGGCTTTAACACGTAGTTCAATGGGGGAAAAAGGTTGCCAAACTTATGGAGGGGAGTGTATACTACACAGCCAATCTGCAACAGTACCGTACGATACCGTTTTGGCATTTTTACCGCGCGGTACCGTGAAATATGGTACTGTACGGTACCGTAGACTAGAAACGGTACCGGTGAACACTGTACAGCATCATTCTCTAACGGCACCATACGGTATCATACTCTTAATGTACCGTACGGTATCGTGATTTTAGAGTGCGGATTGGGGGTAACTTAAGATAATCGATTCAATAAATAAAATACCAGCAATTTATCTATACATATTATATTTTTGAACGAAATAGATCAAATGTACAGAATGCAATTAATGGGTACTGTCACAAAAGCAGCTTTCCTATCTTCAATACGATTTTATATTCCTGTTTTAAAAAGAACTTTAAATGTCCCAGTCTTCAATTTAGCCAAAGTACTACATCTACACCATTCACGGGGGTAAAGCCACTATGATACCATGAGCACATGTTTTGAAGATCCGCGTTGTTTGAACCTACCGCCGAGCTCACTTATACATGAAGACCCGTTACACAGTCATGATACCGCCGAGCAAGCTCATTGCATCATCGGGTCTGCTTTACCCCCGTGCCATTGCTCATTTGTCTGGAATGTTTTTATGTGACGTGTAAGCGTTGAACGTAATTTTAGCAAAGTTAAGAAATTATTCTTGAAAAACTGTAGGCACAGCATATACTGTACGTTAACAGCTTTTTCTCCATGAAACTGCAAAACTCTGAAACAAAAATACATTTTGATTAAGTTAAATGATGAGATTCAACCAACCTTGTAGAAAATAATGATTCGCTGAGCCCTTTTCTTAAACCTCAGAATATGAACATATTAACTATACCGTATATAATAATCGTCTTTATGTTGTATAATTAAGTACAAATTATGTAAAACTGTTTATTTCTCGAGAACATGTTTAACATGGAATTGAAAATCCTTTTTGATGTGATATCTTATGTATCTCTTCAATGTAATATACATATGTAGTACGTAAAATTCCAAAGTTCTACCTTCGCACGAGATTAGTCCGTCTTTGTTGGTATCCATTTCTCCCAGCATGTTATGGATATCTACATTGTAGTTCCCCATCCTGTTCATGGCATACCTCAGCTCCTTGGCATCAACGGCACCACTACCATCCTTGAATTTAATGGGTAACGTTTGCTTTACCTAAGATGGCCGAATATCTAACCTTAACCGTCAAGGAATTTGATTGGTTTCTTGAAGCAAGTCTTAATGTATCTTATACAAATATTTAATCCTTACGTCTTTATCACTGTTATGAAATATGTTTACATGTGAGAGTTTGATAAAAAATCAAAATGCACTTATACCTTCATTCTTTTATACATGCCCTAATGAAGAAATAAACTGTAAGATATTACATATACTTTTTACAACTCAACTTGACTACCTCAGGGACGTAATTTCCATTCCTGAATGGGAATACACATAAAGTTTATTACCCATTCTTTACCTGGTCAAATATACGAAAGGCGTCTTGTATTTCCTTTTGATGGTCGTGGACTGGACTTTTCACACTACACAGTCCAAGAAACGTCTGTAGGTCAATGCCAGAGGCTTTTAATTATAAATGTAAGTATTAATGTACATTATTAATAATGTGTTATTATTGAAATTGAAATATTGAAACTTGAAATTGTGAAATCTTTCTAATTTGTAATTAAAATTACGTCATACTGCGAATTTCTGTCAGTTGCCTGAGGATTTGAACAAGACACTAGTTGCAACGAAATGAAATCATCTTATGTTTTTATCTATATGTTATTATACAGTATGTAGATATATACACAACATACGCTCCGTGCCTTGTTTCATTTCTACTGTATAATTGCTTTACCCTGCGCGCAGGGGAAACTCTCTTTTAAGAAGCTAAGTCGAACGAATGCATTTAGGGTACCAATTCTTATGACACTTTGAAGATGCAACCAATTATTTAGAGGATTAAGCATGGTAACCTCATTTTGATGAATATTCGTTCTCAACAGATTTCTTATGACCGTCATTTATATATAGTTGGTTGCTTCTCTAAAGGCGTTTGACATAATTTTCTTTCTTTTTCTGGTTAAATAAATGTATAAATGTAAAAGTAGGTCACGTTGGTTAAGTTGTTCAGCTTGTGTGTTATGATATAAATATGTTTATAACATAGTGAGATATACTCACACACAATCATGACTACATGTAGGTATTTATATCATGATGCATGTAACGTCTATTTAGGCAAAGTAAACTCGACAAACTCTATTATATAAGACTCCAAACTTACAATCCACACTGACAGCGTCTATCATTTGTTGTAGCTCTTCATACGTTGGCGTCAGTCCGTAACTCGACAGGACTGATTTCAACTGTAGTTTGGTGAGTTTGCCATTGAATGACTGCTCGTTAAACCACTTCGTCAGCCCTAAAAAGGAATCTTTGACATAAAATTACCTTCATCCCATCTAACTTACCGTCACCCCATCTTACTTACCTTCGCCATCTAACTAATTTCACTCCAATATAATTAATTTCACCCCGTCAATCTTACCTTGACGCCATCTGACTAATTTCACCCATCTAACTTAAATCAACCAATCTAACTTATTTCACCCCATCTAACTTGTCTGTTAAATTAAGAAGTAATTCATTTGATGAAGTTTAACGCCAATCCACGAATTACTTGTTAAAAGTAGGCTATATACACTCCCCTCCATAAGTTTGACAACCTTAGCTCCCTCATTTCCACCAATATTATTTTCTTCACAGGTTATGTAAATAAAAATTCAAACGTAAAGAGGCTTTAACAGAGGGAGCTAACGTTGCCAAACTATTGGCGGGGAGTGTACCATTATTTTCTATTGATGTTTATTTTATCTTTACTATATTATGCTTTCATTTTAATAAAAGATAAGTTAGGGCCTACCTGCAAATTCTTTCGGTTTTAGATTGTAGATCGGCTAAAACAGTAAAAATATTTATTTGCACATTACCAACAAGTTTTATAAAACATCGTTGTCATGCCGTCATGATGCTATTTTGTTAAAACATCGTTGTCATTATGCTATTCTACAATACATTGAAGATGGTGGTGGGGGTTGGAAGGTCAATACAGTGGACGTGTCGCATCATCAGTACTTCTACCTCCTCAGGTTTCGGGGCGCTCCAAAGTATACCTGATTGGGGATGGAGGTTGCCCCTGCAGAGTTGATCAGAGTCCACAAGCGATGGTTATAATTGAACCTAGTCAGAGGGGTACTTTGTATTAGGGTGGGACTGGGTTGGTTGCTATGTTGTAGTTGGAGTCCATTTTCTCTAATATCATTGGAGTGTGTATGTTTAATTTAAGCTGTCACTTTCAATTGAAAAGGGTAACTTACATATCAAAATCTTTCTCTATTTCTTTGTCTAGGGGCGAGTACGCACATCAAAAGTAGACTTACAAATGTTGTTTATGGACTATATTTTATATACGAATACAAATAATATATGGATTTTAATAAGCTTAAGAATATCTCCTATACTTGTTTAAAACAGACTTTTAGTAACAATTTTATTAAAAGTGTTCAAGTCTAGAAAATTTACATAAGACTTATCTATAACCTCAGATTTCTCTGGCCATAAGTAAGACCTCACTCTTTTAACAGGGAAAATTGAGAATATATCATTGGACATATCATGGGCGTAGCCAGGGGGATCGCACCCATGCGATTGCACCCATCGCACCCCCCCCCCCAAAGAGAGCTGGCTACGCCCCTGCATATATTTTACCACTTTTTATAATAATTTATTTCATATAATACATACAATAGTTCAAATAGTCAAATTTGACAAGATTAAAAACGACATTATCGTCAAATTGGTATTCCACTATGAATCGTAGAATCTCTATCTTTATTCTTTCATAAGTTTGTCCACTTATTCGGTCACACACCTACCCTGCGTGCAGAGTCTAGTTAAGACGAAGCTCTCTTCTAAGAAGTGAAGTCAAACAAATGCGAAGGGTATCACACACCCATTACCCGCTAATTTTGAAGGGTAAAACAATCAACAAAAAATACCAATTTTAATTAGTTTTGAACGGCTGCTGGTGGCCAATTTCATCAGCCTATCACAATAAGGCTACGGACATTGCTTTCAATGTTAACAAGCTATTATAAAACAGTCGATACTAAAATTACACCCAAATTAAATACACGTAGGCTACGTCAAATTACATTCTCACCTAGTATAGCTTATTCATCACAAATCACAAAAAGTCATGAAGAATAAAAGGACAATTTAAGAAAAAACATATCGTTTCTCTACTATTTATATTATATTATCCAAAGGAAAAATGCAATACTGGTAAAGTCAAAGCAATAAAACAAAAATATAACTTTAAACTCACCATTTCGTCTGATCTCGTATTTTTGCTTCGTTCACCTTCACTCCGTGGTATACAGATATACGCCCAATAGGGTTATTTTAACTGTTTTTATTAAAACACATAAAGAATACCATTTTGTCAGATCTAGGCTTATAAAATACGTGAAACGTGGCACGTAATGATGAGACCGTTTTCCAGTCTGTAATTTTGAGACAAATTATGTCAGACAGAAACATAAACTATTTTCTTTTTTATGACTTTTTTATTCATAAAAACATTTGAAATAAGTTACATTTACGACATATAATATTGCTTCGTAGTTATATTATAGTCACACATTTTAGAATCTTATATTTTTGGCATCTATCTATTGGCATATATACAGGGTGGGCCAAAAAAAAGTTCACCCTTTTTCATTTTAATCTAATTTTCTTATTTTTGATGCAATGCCTCTAAAAATTGATATGTATATAGCTCAGACATTTCTGTACATGTTGTTAGGATTTGAGTGAAATTTATGCAACAGTGTTGTCATGACACCTAGAATATATTCATGGTGTGTCATGAAAAAAAAACCAGAAATTTACTTCATTTACAAAATGGCGGATTTCAAAAAAAGGAGGGAAATTTGAAAAGAAGTTATCATGGTAAATATAATTTTTATGTCAGTTAATGCAAAATATTACAAGGTAGAGTGTTAATTACTAGTCAGAGTTGATGATAAACACCTCTTTAAACAATTAAGTACTCTTATAAACACCCGATACTACCATAGATGAGTTGGTCAACAAGTTACTGAAAATCCATGGTTTTATCCAATTTTCCTCATTTTTACGTTCACAATATTGATAATAATTTGATGGTTTTATGTAATACACTTATGATATAATTACAAATGAATAAGTTATTAAATTCTGCATAATATAATTTGTACAAGATGCCATTTTAATTCTGTTCATGCTTTATAGTGCAGGGAAAAGGGGTACTCAGAGTTGGGAATACTAATACTGGTGATTTATTCCAAGCTCAGAGTCATTGGGCACCCCTTAAGAGTTGAGTTCAAACTGGGATTAATGAAAATTACTATTTAGAAATGAACTGCAATTCTTTTTCAGTAACTGTCACAGGATATCATGCCTCCCCTATCAGATGAAGATAAGGCTATAATCAAAGTACTGAGAACAGAAAAGAAATATGGGGCAAAGAAAGTCTGTAAGATGTTTCCAAATAAAAATTGGAATGTTCGCACAGTTGCGAAACTCATTAGAAAAGTTGACATCACTGGCTCCACTAAGAGGAAGCTTGGAAGTGGGCGTCCCAGAACTGTTACAACAGCAGAAAACATAGAGACTGTAGCTGATTTAATATGTAGCCAAGAGGATAACCCAGGGAGTAGCATGTCTCCAAGAGAGATAGAAAAGAAAGCAGGCATATCCAGATCAACTGTTCGAAGAATTGCCAAAACTGAGTTAAAGATGAAAACATTTAAGCGCCAGCACCTTACTCTCTTAACAGACAACAATAGAAAGAAAAGACTGGATAATAGCAAGCGACTCCTGAAAACATTTTCCAAACGTATGGTAGATACATAAGGGTTATGTACTGGGAGGTTTTGGATACAGGGTTTATCCCAAGGGAAATATGTGTATCTCATGAGGGACCGCAGGGACCGAGGGAGATACACATATTTCCCGCGGGATAAACACTGTATCCAAAACCGACCGTACATAACTGGTGTATCTCATACTTGAGTGGGTTTGGGGTAGATATAACCTTTACTACCTTTTTCAAATGACAAGATAGGCCTATACTGTAAAAGCACAAGTTATATTTAACATTTTCCTAATATTCCTTCAGTTCAATACAATAGAATTGTAACATTTAAACTTTTTGAAAAATTTTAAACTTCTGAAATTTAAATTTTTTAAATTTTTAAACTTATTTTAACTTTTGAAAAAATTCCCGGGAGCGGGATGGATATATTATATCTGCCCGCATTTTGCCTAGAGCGGGACATATACAATATATCTTGCCCGCTCCTCAGATATGATATATATTCCCGGGTGATATCTACCCCAAACCCACTCAAGTATGAAATACAACCTGGTTCACAGACGAGAAGATGTTCACAGTTGATCCACCTAAAAATTCACAAAATGATCGGATTTACGCTGATGTTGAAACAAAGCAGCAAATACACCGAGAGCGACTTGTAAAGGAGAGGAGAAAGTTTACCTCAAAAATAATGGTATCTGCCGGCGTATCTAAATTGGGAAAAACTAGAGTAACATTTGTTCAACCTGGAGCCAAAATGAATTCTACATACTATATAGACAGAGTGCTAAAAAAGTCCTTATTAAAGGATATGAATCGCATCAATCCAAACTACATATTCCAACAAGATGCGGCTCCCTCGCACACATCTAAAGCAACAATGGAGTTCTTGCATGCCAATGCACCTGATTTTATCCCCCCTGACTTATGGCCCCCAAATAGCCCTGATCTCAATGTTATGGATTATTTTGTGTGGGGTGAACTAGAAAAACATGTTCATAGTGTTCCCATCCATTCAGTTCAAGAACTCCAACAAAGAATAACTTTATGTTGGGAACAATTATCACAACAATCAATTAACGCGGCAATAAATAAATGGCGTCATAGACTAAAACTGGTTGTGCAGGAACAAGGAGGACATATTGAACATTTACTTTAAAAACAAAACAGCCAAAGACACACCTAATGTTATATATCGACCTTGTTTAGAAATGTCTCAGTTATCTACATATCAATTTTTTAAGGGATTGCATCAAAAATAAAAAAATGAGATTAAAATGAAAAAGGGTGAACTTTTTTTTGGCCCACCCTGTATATCAACTATTGACTAGTCAAGTCGATCTACATGTAGGCTACAACAACAATAAGTTCTATGATTTGCTTTAATTGTAATATGAAGTGTTCGCATAGAATATCTTTTGAATATACTCAACACATTTGTCATCATTTTTACAACATATTGGTCCTATCATGATATTCTGTTTTGTACAAAGCACCGCAATACCGCAAGTAATCAGCTTTTAATTTCTTCTATCAATATTCCATTAAGCTTAGCCTACCACTTTACAAATCAGAGATGAGATCACAAATTTCCTCTGATTTTTCTTTACAAATGGCACAAAGATCAGATTCTGATAGTGTACACATATTTTCAAGTAGGCCTACAATCATTTCTACTTCAAATCGACAATCAATAAAAGTAAATGTTAGTTCGCAGTTCATAATCTCAAATCATCTTAAACCTTCAATCAATTTATAATCAAGATTTGATCTAAACAACTTTTCAGTGAATAAAGTTCGACTCAGAAAAGAGAAACATTTGCACAGGCATTTGCATGCATTTACACTACCATCTTTACTTGCAATGAACTCTCACAAGCTTAGTCCAACAATATTAGACCTAGCCTGGGTCCTCATTTAATTCCTATATGACATGTCTTATGGCTAGGTCTTAATCCGGTCCCAATTAATATCAGATTAAAGCCGGATTTAGTTTAACTTGTTGAACTTCAGTACAGGTGTAAAAGGGTAGGAGGTC